AACCTAACATTTTATAGCTCTTTATGAATTTGATTCGACTTATTTTATTTCTTTTTACACAAAAAGGTATGAAATAAAAACAACCGGCTTGTGGATAATTGTATTAAAACCAAAAGTGGACATCATGATCGTAAGACCTATATGGGTAGCATTATACATTGCAAATGAACTTTGTCAGCTTAGGGATTATAGTGTCCCATTGTATTTCCTTTATGAATGCATCTATTAATGATACATTGCATTTACCTATTTCATTACACTTTAATGATTCACCTTAGCACCTTTACTTTTCTGAAACAGCTTACTATCCCTTGTAAACGTTGTACTTACCTCAATATTGGTTGGTTATCGTATGCCTACAACTACGGGTTGAAAACGAAACGAAGTCGATTTTCCTGCGCAACCTGGAGGACTGCTGTTTAATTCAATAATGATACGACATGGCTGTTCAAACATTATTAACTTGTAGACAATCTACTATTTGACATTACATCATACTCGATCGTGCCTGTAAAAGTGGCATGCGTTTTCATGTAAATTTATGTTTATATGAAAATATAAATTATTATTCAATAATCAGAACTACAGTACACTTGGCGATTACTAATATCTTATTGATTAAGCAACGTGCACTAAATAGCAACATCGTGAATAAGTCACGGTATGCTACGAACTGGTTTAAAATATCTCCATAACATAATTCTATCTGTGCGTCAGCATCGGAAGAGATTATGAATGATAAGGGGATCGGATTTGACGAGGTGCTCCTAGATGCCATAGGTCGCACCAGTGATTCGGGACACCCAAATAATTTACTGTGTTCCTGGATGTAGGGGTAGTAGTTGTTGGGGATGGGTTGTGGATTGAAAGACATAGCGTCATAAGGTCTACCCATCAATCTGCTATTCGGCATACCGGTACGCATCTTCATGTTGTTTTAATAACTAGAAGATTATTGTGGGGGGAGTTGCTTCGGTTGCGAGACTTTTGGGGTTTTGGAACCTAAGTTTCCATTAGGCGGACTATACTGAAAACCACCAAATATACCTGTGTTTTCAGATGGTTTCAGTCTTAAGTGATCCTGAAATTTAGTAAACTTGCTGGCATCACGAGAATTACTGAACTAAAAATGATAGGACAGTTGGTCTGGGTCACCTTTCTACGAAGTCTTTTGCATCCACATGGCACACTAGCCATGCCGCAACAATCGAGGATTTCGTGTTTTATAGTCTTCAGAGGCATTGAATCTAGGATGCTGTAAACTATAGCCTTGTAAGAGGAGGTTATACGCTTCATCACCTCCGCAGCCAGGCAGTCAATCAGATTTTCGGCTATATTCAAGTTGTCTGAAGACATTTCAGGATGTTTTTTAACTGGCAGGCTGTTGAGTCTGAATCCGCAAGCTTGTGTTTAGTTACATCCAGTAGACTTAACCTGGCCAATATCAGAACGATTCTCCGTGATATTTGAGATTGACAGCGACATGCTATGAAACTGACCTGAAGTTCACTTACTTGCCCCTGAATATCTTTCACAAGGAGGTTTAATTTACAGAACTCAGAGTTCTCCAATAGAACATCTTTCACCTGTATTATAGGAGTGAGGACTGCACTCAAGTCATTTTGTGAGCTAGTAGTTGATAATGTATTACAGGGCGGTAATGCAGTTATAAGCGAGCATGAGCCATTATCTAAAACAATTGTGTTTCTAGGATCACTTTTCTTAAAGATTTGGACTATAATTTCAAGGATTATAGATCATAAGGTATAAGTGAATATCGGAGAAAACACATGCAGAAATGTCACCAATTTTAAAAGTACCCCGTAAAAGACAGGTGCAAATTAGGAAGTCTACAAAGGGCGTTTACTAAACGTCGAGTCGGTGAAAATCTTTGCATTTCTTACTTCGACAGATGTAACATATTCGACTTGGAACCCTTATGGATCAGACAACTGACGTTCAACCTAAAAATTACATTAAGGATTGCTAAAGGGCTTATATATTTCTACCATGATGACTTCACTTTTAGTCCACCCAAGAAGTATAACCTCAGAGATAAATCCTCATATAGGCTAAAGTCATTTGCAGTGAGGATATACTTTAACTATTCGTCGTTCCTTTGATTCTCAGTGAGTGCTCGGTAGTCTGTCATGGTTTGTTGCATTTTATTCGCGTGCATTCTGGATAATGCATCAGTCATATAGCTCTCTGTCCGTTCTATGTTTCTTAAATCGCTGGTATACTCCTACATTAAATCAATATGGCGAATTTCTCGTGGTGAGTATTTGTCCATTTTCACGTTCAGTGTAGGTTTGTAATATGTTCACATCTTGAATAGTCTACCCTCTGTCATGCGGCAGAAGTGTTTAAGTGCTAGGCAGATTGCCAGAGAGTCTCTTTCAAAAGCTGAGTACCTCTTTTCTATAGGAGAAGAATGCTGCCGGTTCACAGCAAATTTCAACTCGCTAATTTACAGCCCATCCCGCAGACTAATCTGACACGTTTGACATCACGACAAGAGGAGCATGCTTAGCGAGCATATTCAGGGTTGTTGCTTCTTTCAGCTGTCCAGTTGCGTCAGATGCCTCTTCAAACAACTGAAAGTCCTTTGGTCTACTCCATTAATGTCAGGAGCTAAAAGTGTTGTGTGCGATTATAAATAAAGTTTCGGTGGAATTTGTTCAACCCCAGAAAACCCAAGAATTGTTGGGGGTAATACCGGATGCTTCTCACCTCTTTAGCATTAGTGCGACCCCTGTACAGTCAATGACATCCCCTAGGAACTCTATCAATTCTGTCCCCAAACGCACTTTGGCTGAATGTCATGCCATTGTCCTCTAGTTTGCGTATTACTGCCCGAATAGTATCTTTATGTGTATTTATATCGGGGATGGTGATGATTAGGCCGCCTATGTGCGCTTTAGCGTGTGGCAGTTCACGAAGCAACTCATTCATAGATCCTTGGAAAGTTTGTGTAGCATTCCGGAGATCTAGCGAAATCCTCACATACTCTAACAAACTGTATACTTCAGAGATGGCTGTTGTAGGTGTATCTTCCTTAGCCGCGAGAATATTATGATAGACGCAAACTAAGTCGGTCTTAGTATACATAGTGGCGCATCGAAGACTGTTATAACAGTCCTGAATGTGTGGTACTGCATATCTGTCTAGGACGGTTTCCCTATTCAGGGCTCCGTAATAACCAGAAAGGTGCCAGCCAGTTTGACTTTTCCCAGATACTGTGTGTAACGGTGAGGCACATCGACTATTTGACGACCGAATAACCGTCAACCGAAGCACACAGTCAAATTCAGAATCCGCTATTATTAGCTCGTTTGCGGAAAATCTTCTTGGCATAGCTTAAGCCTTGCGGTCATGTGTGTTAGTAATTTTCGAGCTAGCCTTGGAAGTTTGAGGGTTGATTGCTTTCGAAGTGAGGAATTTAGCTGGCACTTTCAGGAACCTTACGGTTGACACTAGAGGAGACTGGATTAATAACACCTGTCTATAACACTTTCCATATAAAATGATCAGCTATCGTCTTCCTTATAACCATTGGCAAACATATGTGGATTTCTCGTTAACCACGTGGGAATATGCGTCATAGTAGATAAGCAGCCGTTTGTTCAAACAACAAACAAAAACAGTGTTCTGGTAGGACAGAATGTTGTTTTTAACTTCTAACAAAAGAACTACATCCGATCACATTTCCATTATCAACAGGCTACTTGTTTGTAAAATATCTCAGAAGTAATGTAGAGGTCGCCTATAGGTCGGAAATCAATATATACCGGTCACTTTTCACTTTTTATTTCAAGTGCTTGAATTACAAAGTAGTGAACCATGAATCAGTAGTGTCTTGACCTTTTGTTTTCTCATGGTGTCACCAGTTTTCAAATTTTTTGCCGCGAGGGTTAGTTGGGTTTGTTCCTGGTCATGTTCTATGTTATAAACTAGTTGTAAACTAAATTATCCCCACCGCTCTGATTGTTATCTTACCTTTGTATGAGTATAAACTTTCTGTGCACGCTGTAAGAGAGCTTGGAATCATTATGCCTATACTGGAAAGCAGTATCCAGTGGAGTGCCCCAGGGAACTGTATTAGGCCCCTTGCTATTCCTATTATACGTTAATGAGCTACCAGGGATTCTTACTTCATCTTCATAGTTATTTGCAGACGACATTAAGATATGGAAAACTGTAAACAATAGCGAGGATAGGTCGGCCCTACAAACTGATCTAGATAAATTAGCTGAGTGGTCGAACCAGTGGAGTTTGGAAATGAATTCTAGGAAAAGCGCAGTAATGCACTTAGGTCAGAAGTCTTATACGTCGTACTCCCTAGGGGACACAGAACTACCTGATGTTAACGAACAGAAGGACCTAGGAATCATTGTCAGCAATGATTTGAAAACAACTGCAAACTGCAATGCAGCCGCAGCTGAGGCTTTTCGAATGCTATGGGCACTCCGTAGGGCTTTCAAACGATTAGATGAGGGCATGTTCCAAATACTCTACGCAACCTATGTCAGGCCTCATCTAGAATACTGCGTACAAGCGGCGGGTCCATGCTTCAAAAAGGAGGCATATATCCTGGAAAGAGTACAGAGAGTAGAAACGAAACTAGTTAGTGGTATCTCACACCTTCCTTATGATAAGAGGATGGAGCATCTAAATCTCTTTCCGTTATCATACCGAAGGAAGAGAGGCGACCTAATTTTGGCTTACCGTATACTTAAGGGTGATTTAGGAACTGACCTTTCTAAACTTTTCTCTCCTTCTAGGATACATTTACGGGGTCACCGCAAAAAGGTGCTCAAACCGAGGACGATTAAAATACGTGCAGAATTTAGATTCTCTCATAGAGTGGTCAACGACTGGAACTCCTTACCTGATTCAGTAGTAACAGCTCCATCGGTGAACGCGTTCAAAGAGAAGTTAGATCTCTGCAGAGATATATTTTGCAAGGATTAACACAGGCCACAAGAGCCTTCTATCCTTATCAACTGAATCTGAATCTGAATATCTGAGCAAATTTCATTGGACTAAAACTCATGCATTAATTCGTATAGATTTGCATAAAAGGTTCAAAATCATTGACCGAAGGACTTATGTAAAATCTGTTTCCGCATCCTTGGTGACCATTGTTCAAGCATCTACTCAGTTGGAGGGTGCATATAGGTAAAGTCGGGAAAACGTTAGGTGAGAAGTTTTAATTAGAATAGACTTAGAAAAATAGTCGACAGAATGGAATGTCGAATACTCATGCCTGATTATTTTTCCATTGTTTCTAACTGGCAAATCAATCACCTTCGAACTGAGTGCTACCTGCATTCTTACCAGTGCTCATAATAAATTCTTCGACTGAGTATCGACAGCTTTTCCATAGAAGGGCTAATAAGCTCCCGGTTTTTCAAAACCTACAACGTAGTTGTGTGATCTCACCATTCTTCCCTGGCTCTGATGAAGTTTGTCTCGACAAAGATGTCAGTGCTGTTGGCTCTAGTTATATGTTTCTAAAACATAACAGTCCGTATATCTGTGTACAGTATGACACTAAGAGTTCCAACCAATTAGTGAGTAGTGTTCTATCACACCATTGATGCCTAGATACCTGCTCCCAGTACTTACTAATCTCTCACTGGGTTCTTTCAGGATTAACTACGGGACTGTGTTCCACCTTTCACAATCTCCATACACACCTTGTCAGCAGTTTAGTGCTGTTATCTGCTAACTTCTTTTTGTTTCAATTTACAGCCTCATTCAATAAAACTACAGATTAGTATACCTAAACCGTCTGTGATTCTCAGCTGGTAAATGGACGTAAGCGTGAAAGTTGGAGTTCGTGTCCGACCGCTCTCGGAAAATGAAGTTAACGATGGCTGCTGTACGTGCCTATCATATCCTCTTGAAGAAAATCAGCTAATAATTGGCAATGATAAACTCTTTGGCTTCGACTTCATTTTCAAGGAAACAGATTCTCAGGAATATGTTTACAAGAAAGCAGCACTTCCAATGGTTGAAAACATTCTTAAGGGATATAATGCTACTTTATTTGCGTATGGTCAAACTGGTAGTGGGAAAACATATACAATGGGCACATATGTTAGTGAAAACTTGTCTGAAAATTCTGTTGGCATTGTTCCGCGGATTATTAAAGACTTGTTCGACAGGATGCCAGATTGTGAATACGAATACACAGTGAAAGTTTCATTTCTGGAGGTAGTGTACAACTTTGTGTAAATATTTCTCTAGATATATAAAGAAGATATACACGATTTACTGTCGGAAGATGCGTCCGCCTGCTTGCAGATTCGTGAAGAGAATCAGCTTGTGAAGGTATTTGTTGTTTCATTTCTCATGGAGTTCTGTAGATCCCAGGACTAACCGAGACACTGGTTACCTGCCCAGAGGAAGTTTTAAATCTCCTTCAGTCTGGTTCAGCAAAACGGAGCGTTGGGAGTACTGCTATGAACATGAAGTCGAGTCGAAGTCATGCCATATTAACGCTGAGCTTTTTATTGCGACCCAAGGTTACCGAGTGTAGTGTTGAAAGTACGGAAGATACATTAACAGCGAAATTGCATTTGGTTGACTTAGCTGGTTCTGAACGTCTTAAAAAAACACATGCTGAAGGTGATAGGCTTAAGGAAGGTAAGTGTAATATTTTATCCTATTAGAGTTAAACAAGCCTGTAAAATATTATGTCCTAGTTTGTTAAGCACACTCAATGTGTATGCTTGTTGTTATCCTTGGAGTGCTGGTCTAATTAGGCACTCATGTAATCAAGTTCCTCTCTGGGTGATGCAGTCTGCCTCATTACCGGATTCGGGTGGATAAAAGCTCACTTATCAATGGATTTGATGAAATAAGGATAAGTTCATAAACAATACTTATTTTACTTCTACCTGATCAAGAATTAGATTGTAATGTCCTTATTAGACAAATCTGTCTTCCTCTTGAGATGTTATTAGGTCTGTAAAAAATATGTGATAGTATAAACCATTTATTTCTACGTCTAGTTAATGTGTTGATCTGTGAAAATGTAATGTTAAGTAGATTTTACTATGAATTTGATCCCCATAGTTTTTTCCTTCTTAAATTCATGAGGCATGTGCAAATATCGCTACATTAGTCATGGGTAAGTAGCTTCTCTGTTTAAATTCACTTTGATATTAGACTAAAAGGAGGATCGGCTAATGAAAAACTGGACAGTTGCGTATCTTTCTTCCATACGGAAGTCCGGTGACATACTTAACTCATTCTACTTGTCTGATTTATGCCATAAGCCTCCCATGAATAGACCGACTAGATTAAGAAATCCTAGTTGATTATATCAGATGCAACTAGCCTCTGAGTCACTTATTTCATGAGTAGTCTCCATGCAGACATTAATGAAGACTAATGAACCACGTGTTTTATTTTCATTAAATCGCTTATATCAAAAGAAATAAAAAAGATGTGAAATAAAAACGAAGGAATCATCAGTATAAATATGACATAAAGTGAGGTTAGAGGTACATGCATTTTTGTTTACACTCTACTATGTTCAAAGTTGAGGTGTTCTATCTCGTTATTCAGGTTGACTGTCATTTTAATCATCCTGTGACAACTTAGATCAATAACCAGTGCCACTGTAAATGGAGAATATTTAAAGTCCTCGCCAAAATCAACTTCACTAGGCATTTAGGATTTCTTCAAGAAATAATACTACCAAGTGCATGCTCAACTAAGTGTTAAACCTGTTTTATCAGTTTCAAAAATGTTTACTTGGACACCACTCAGTGTTTTAAGCCTTGGGAATTAAATAAAGATATGTTAATTCGGATGCTTTTAACGGATAATATCATTATGATTTCCAGGCATAATTATCTTTCATTGAATCTTTCCATTTAGGTATTGATATAAACAGGGGTCTACTTGCTCTGGGCAATGTAATAAGTGCATTATGTGAAAGGGATTCAAAAAAGCGATCACATATTCCATATCGTGATTCTCGTTTAACTCGTCTACTGCAAGATTCATTAGGTGGTAATAGTGCAACCTTAATGCTTGCTTGCGTCAGTCCTGCAGATATGAATATGGAGGAGACTCTAAATACACTCAGGTGAGTTTAGCGTATTGTTTGTTTAAAACTCCACTGTTTCCCCTTAAACTTTACCACTACTGTTTACTTGAAGTGTACATATGAGAATGAAATGAACAACCAATTCGTTCAAGTTGTCACTTCATAAAACCGTCATAAAAGATTATAGATGCCAATGAAAACGATATGACTATCGTCAAAAGGAACATGGAAAGAAAAGAAATAGTTGGATGAAAATTTGTGACACATTTCAAAATATCAGTGTTCCTAAAGTGGTAATGTGATCTAATTTGAGGCCCTGTCATTTGGGTTCTTGGTCTCTAATATCTTGATCAAATACAGCTAGTCTTTTCATGTCCTCCACTCTCAATGGCTTGGTTTCACAGCCATAAAGGAGGACGGAGCGGATTGCTGAGCAGTACACACGCGCTTTGGTCGGTAGCCAGCTGGATACCACTTCACTCCCTATTTCTAAGCTAGGAATCAATGTAGTCCAGTCCAGTCCTGTAGCATCATCTTACATTTGGAGGGAGCGAATCGTATGCCTAACATACGCAGATTTCAACTCAAGGTGTTCAGAAGACTCTGCACTTTGTCAGCGTCCTCACCTAGAAGGACTATATCATCTGCATATTCTAAGTCAACGAGGTTGTCCCCTGGTAACAAGTCAATCCCTGAGTCTCTGAAGTCAGCAGTTAGGGTTAATTCCATTAGTACATCTATGATGAAATTGAATAGAAATGGGGATAGTGGGCATCCCTGTCGGACACCACTAGCTGTCACCACTTCAGGTGGCAACTCGCCATAAGCTCTCACCTGACTGACTGCATGAGTTCGAGTAGAGTGCCTTGATCAGTGCAATATGTTTTCTCGGTATTCCCTTCACAGCCAAACATCGCCAGAGTACCTCTCGGTCGATAGAATTGAATGTCACCTTTAGGTCAAGAAATATAACGATTGTTGGACGCCGGTGGTGAGTATGCCTATGTTCCAGAATCTGTCGAAGGGTGAAGATATGATCAGTACTTCCTCTTCCTGGTCAAAAGCCTGTTAGTTCTCTCGTGTTTGTGCCCCCCCCCGAGCACCACTTAGTCTACGCAATATTATTGAACCTAGAATTTTAGATACCATATTAGTCAAGCTAACCAAGGTTAGTCAAGTTTTAGCTTGTCTAACTCGTGAATGATACAGAAATGTTTTTTTTAAAAATTTCATATCAATGTTCAAAATTTGTAATTGTGTACATTCATGCATGCTAAGAGACGCCTTATTTCTTCATTTGTTTTCTTTCTTCAGATATGCTGATCGAGCACGTTTAATCAAAAACAAGCCAATATTGAATCGTGCTGATCCTAAAGATGCTGAGTTGGCTAGATTGCGTACTCTAGTTGCACAGTTGCAATCACGACTAACCAATGGATCATCATTCCCATTATTAAGTCCATGTGCAAAACTTATTAAACCAATATCGTCCTCAGTTAACTCCACTACTACTAGTAGTACTGCTAGTAGTGGTAGTAGTCATTTCTCTTCTGAAATAATAACAAGTCTTTTGGATAAAACTAAAAAACTAGAAGTAAGATAAATAATTTGTTAAAAAATTTATCGATAATAATGATTTCATTTTATGCTTATAAATTACTTCACTCAACAAGCATTTAGATTTACATATAGGTGGTATTGGGCCATATTTGTTGCGTGAAAGGTAATATGATGCTTGTAATTCAGTTATTAGAAGTCAGTCGGTCGGTCGGTCAGTAGCCAAAACTAATGAACCACGATGATGATTTTGAGTTTATTCCTTAACTTATTGATTAAAGTCTCCCTTAGTCCCTTAGCCTTCGGTATTTATTTAGTGGTGTAGGAGGTTATTTTTGCATACATTATCGTTATAAGAGAAGAGGCAGCGAAGACAGAACTTCAAGTAAATATAGAGATAGATAATGAATACACCTAATCAAAAACAACAACAACAACAACAGGCACAAATCACTATCAATGGGAGAGGTTTGAAGGAAGTCACTTGTTTCGCTTATCCAGCATCGTTTCAACTACAGGCGGCGTGGATGACGATGTCAAAGTTATTAAAGGTGAAAAAAGTAGGGCAGATCTTCAATAGCTATCTGAAACCAGTGTGAAAATCTTCTGCAGTTAGCATAGGCAATAATAATTCAAATTTTCAGCACTTATGTCAAGTGAATATCATTTCTTCTATATGTGTTTCAGAGACTTAGCGCACGCATCACAAAAAGCATTTCGGATAGGTTTCGGTTTTTTTTCGACAGCTGCTTTTGTTGACTTTATAATGAGGTTCAGATGGCAACAGGAAACTGATGCAACCAACCAACTAACCAAGAACCTATTGGTTAACACATGTCAGAGAAGTGCAGGTAGATCGGGGACCGGTGAGTGACATAGCTCGTCAGGCCTTTAAGTGGAATGTGAATGTAAAACGACGAGCTGGGCATCCGAGGAGATTGTGTAGGTGGGAGATAAGGGCTTATAAGCAGTTGTGGAGTTACTTGAAGAGTACTGCAAACAACAGGTTGAAATGAAAGTGTGCAGTTAAAGTCCTGTGTTCCCCTCGGAGACTAGGGGAGTAATAGTGAAACCTGTTGCATTAGTGCACAGTATCACCAATGACCATTGTCTCATAGCAGTATGTTTAGACGGACAAAGTAACGTAATTAGTATCATCTTGAGTGGTTTAAACAAAGAAGTAGGTGAAAGGAACAAAAGATAAAGCAAATAAAAGAGTTTTGCATGATCATTAAGGTGTGATTGAGGTAGGTATGAATACTTCTGTATCAGTTTTATTTTTATTTCGCGATATTCACCTGGAGAATAGGGTTGTCGATTTCATTTGTCTTCAAACATATACGTCGCAAATTAGTTTCTTCCAAACTAGTCGCTCAACTTCCAAGCAATATTTCCAAGGTTCTTATTCTAATGGGTTGGTCTCCTAAAGCCCTTTGCATTATACTGTCGCTTTTTTCACAATCCTTTTGCAAAATAAATCTATGAATATTTCATGAAGAGAGTGATGTATTTGGTCAATTCGATTTGGCATGGTTCTGTGTAATAAGTGTTCGAATCCTACTCCGTCTGTACTGCATCCTGGGCAACTGAAGTATGTCTTCATGTACACCATGATGTGAATCATACGTCGTAGTATGTAAGAGTTGATTATATTAACTCAGTTACCTTGGTTAAAGTAGGTGGGAGCGGGATTCGAGTCTGTGGTCCGTTGACTGAAAGTCAAGTGATTAATTCAATAAACCACTTATCCATCCTTGATGGTGGTTTGGTTAGAGGCTTTCTGGCATAAGTACGTTGAAGTTATGGACACATACATTTTCTTAGCAGTGAACCGTACAATTTCAGTCTTATTCACATCAGGTATATTTCGTTTTGTTTTTATTTTTCTTACAAAGTACGGCTACTGAAACGTAAATACTACATGTTTCAGTTTACGTAAATTCTACTTATATACATGAACAATTGTTATTTTTGTTGTTACCCTCTTCAGAGTGAGAAACTTCAACTTTGTGAAGAATTGGATCGTTCAGTTGAAAAAATTAAGGAGTTATACAAAGCGAATTTTGACTCATATAATCTACGTGATGAGCTGCTCATTGAATATCAAAAATTGGAATCTGTTCTCAAGTAATGCAGAACTTCATTTCTAAAAAAATTGTTTTTTTCCTTTAGTTCTTTGAAACAGCTAGTTGAGGATAAATTAAGCGAAAATCCTGAATTAATGTGTTGTATTCAAGAGTTGGAGAGTATTCTTGCTAAAGTGAAAAGCCTGTCACCTACTGAATCGCATAAAGTAAGTTCTTTTTCAATTATTATTTCAGTTATTATCATTGATCCTATCATTGTTATTTATTCCTTGGATGTCGAGTGGAGCATAAGACCTCAGTTGCACAGCAAAGTTAAACTTTAAAGCACCACTAACTACCAATCAGCGAATGACCTCGAACGCACCAATCACGTGAAGGAGGCATTTCTGTGTATGGAATACATATATTTATGAAAAAATTGCATAAAAACTGTATAAAAGTGTTACAGAGGATACCTTTCTCTCACATGTGATAAAAATAGATCTCAGTTTTAGGTTGGAGTATCAACAGAGTATAATTCCATTGTGGGTAAAATGTATTTTGATAAAGTCTCATAGTGTAATACAGTAATATTTCCTGAGCAATAGATTGTGCTCGAAACGTTGTCATCAGTAAATATTACTGTATAACACTGTGAGACTTTATCAAAATAAATTTTACTCACTATGGAATTATATCCTACCACAGTGCACAAGTTCTATTCTTATATCAACAGAGAAATTTAACAACATTCTATGCATCTAGTTATTCAGGTATTCTAGCCATAACAATAACCCTAATCTTTCCTGAACCTAACCCTAACGTAAAAATATCCCTAAACTAACTGTAATCTAACTCGAACCAAACCTACTGTCGCCTTTGTTAGGTCAACCTAACCTTAACTTGTCTTGGGCTTAAAGAGTAACTTAATCTTTCTCAAACCTAAGCTGAAACTTGCTAGATATCCCATTTAATAGCATAACACTTTGATGAGCATATTTTATTGATGATGACAACATTATTTGCCAGGTTTCACTAACTTGCTCAGTGAGCGTTTCAAGGTCATTGGTGCGGTCTCACTCCATTGGCAGTTAGTGGTGCTTAAAGTTTAACTTGGCCAGTCGCACATCTCCACTATTACTTCCAACTGGGTCCATGTCTGCCGACAATCTTTCATTTACTCCTCATGATCACCTCCATGTCACTCTTGAATGCCTGACTTGCCACTCTCTAGTCCGGTTCTATTCGATGGCTAGCCTGTCGTGTGACGTTAATATTTAAATAGTACGTATTCAATCTCAGTAAGTTTTTTGTAATTTAATAGATGTTACCCTCAGCGGTAGAACACTCGCCAAAAATCTTATGGGGTCCGGGGTTCGAACCTCGCTGACGCACTCCTTAACCTCGCTAAGCCTTTAGTAAGACTAGTAAAGATGGGAGATTGGGCGTGAGGCTAGTGACCCCACCCCGTGAAATAAAACCAATGCTACTAAAACTTCAAAACTCAAGCTTGAAGCTCTATGTCCGACTCAAAACGTAAAGGAATAAAAACATGTTAGCCTGATATTGTGTCTTCAGCCCTGTAGAAGCTGGGTGTATTTATATACAACATAAAAACTAGGTACCAGGAGGTGCGCAGCACGAGAAATTAAACAATGTATGGAATAGGTATATAGAATAATTGAGTAACAGGATCGTGAAAACAAGCCACCATACCTATGAAGAGCAATAGACGGGTGTTCACCATATGTTAAAGTTAGTCAGCCACTTTGAGAAAGAGAAGAGAATAAAATTACATCGTATCCACCGCTGATTACAATTCTCAGGTATATATATAATGACATTCGGAGTCACGGATTCGAACTGTCTGTCGGACCCCACTCAGGGGAGTTTTGGTGCTGCACGAAAGTATGCTAGTTTGACACGAATACTCTTCATCCGATGGCGTCACGTCATGGACTGACCATCTCTCCGCTTTTCCGTCATAGTATTTTTACTTCATAGTTGATAGAGTCTTGATTTCATAAGCGAATTTTGGGATAATCACCTCAGCCACCGTGAATCAGCCGACTCTTGTAAGGTATGCATCCCTAAATCCATTTTGTCATTAGAATTGTGTTATCGCTGCATATTTGCGCTTGTTTTTCTTTCACTGCAGATTACAAACGATGATTTAGAGCATGCCTATAAACAGTCTACTGATCTGCTAGCAGAAGTTCGCTCAGAGATTACAGGTTTAGATACAGAAGACGAAGAATTCAATGGGACGACATTAGAGAATACTGAAGTAAATATGGACAATAATGACGATGGTAATGATAATATTAATTGTGCTTCCGAAACAGTGAGCACTTTAACTACCAAAACGCAAGGTATGGGTGAGTACTTACTTTTCCTAAGCAAAATGGTATATCTGATTAAGTAATTCATCTATCTTACTCAATTTGATGAAAACATGTTCTTCATGTAAAGAGTTAAAGTTTAGCTTGAGTAACTCAAAAAGTTACTCAAAATCTCATTGAGAACAGGTAACATACCTGTGTTATTTGGTTAACGGTGGTTAGTAATGAAATCTAATCTACTCATATCAACCTAATTGGGATTCGTCAGCTGGATATAACTGTATTCCCCACTGAGTGATTATGACTGACTCCTAACATCCAACACTCACAAAAGCGTTATCCACTGAGCAATGGATGTCAGTTATTATTTGTTGAAATTATTGGACTCTGCCCCAGTTTGAGTCTCAGTTTTGACACTATCGTTCATTGGGGATGCAAATGCCAAAGAGTTGGGGGAAACGCACCTCCTGGATTCATCTGCTGGTGATTATCAACCCGACAACGTAATGTCGACTTCATAACATCGCGGCTTTCTTATTAGGAGCTGACGTGTCACCAGAGATCAAACATTTCGGTGTAGGGGATTTGAATAGTATTTTGAACAAGTAAATACGGTTCTGCTTTATTCAGTGGTCAGAGTTATCGCGGGTATTTTGTGTGTGTGTGTGTGTGTGGTGTGAATGTAAGGCTGTTGAGACAACCGGAAAAATCATTTCAGTTCCTAACTAAATCATTTTGATGATCAGAGTAGTTCTAGTTTCTTCCAGAAACCAGGTATCTCCTGTAGTGGGTTTATAGTTAACAGTAATGTTATTGTATGAGTAGACTAAATGTAGGGAATATCAAGTACCATTGATGATGTAGGGGCTCACACATTTATTGTGAGGATATTGGTTCATTGGCTGAAGCGCACTTAACTCCCAACCAATGGGTTCCCAGTGTGATTCCTACTCTTCACCTACCTCAGCCTAGGCAGTCAACTGGTTCATGTCTCTTATCCTGGAGAATAAAAGTTGTTTCCCGGGTGATTTGGATTCAAGTGAACACATGGCTTCTACGCAAACCTTACTGTTAATTTTTCTTTTTTAGATCGATGGGGTTCTGAGCTACGTGCACGTCGAATTGAATGTAAACAACGTATTGAAACTATTGAGGCGACAATTCGCCAGAAAAATGATCTTTTAGCTAGTTTAGAAGCTGCAGCTGAACAAGGCGACGAATCATATTGTTTACTATTACAAAAGTATGAATCACAAGTGCGTGAATTGGAGTCACGAATATCTGATTTAGAGTTGGAAAAAAGTCGGCTACTAGCTGAGCATAGTAGTGAAGAATCAAAAGAGTATGTTTATAATATTTGTGTGTTTTCCTTTTTGTTTTTTTTAACAAGTTTTGTTGACTAACATCTAAATTTTTATGGCAAACTGAGCTTTCGGTGATTTACTACAGGTGTGCAGTGTTGTATGCGTTAGTGTGAATGCTATTCAACATCCTGTTGAGAATGAGTAACACGTATTGTGTGATGATGATGATGCCTTGACAATGCTACCTGACTGATGAAACCTGGGTAGATGGAGCGGGATTTGCAATCATGATCTAGTGGTTGGGAATCGACTGCCAAATGTCGAGATTGGCGAATTGTTGACCAACTTCTAGGGAAGTAGTTGGGCTTGTTGACCACTTCACTTATTTCGGAGGCTGCATCAACCCTGATGAAGTCTGAACACGGGTACTAAAGGCTTGTGTGGCATATGCCGACCCACGTCGTCTCTGAGGTAGACATGGTATCTGGGATGCGTGTGCTCCACAGCAGTCTTCTGCTCCCTTTTTTATGATTGTGAGATATGGCCATTAAAGAGGCTAGTTTGCTTGCTGTCTCCTGTGCGAAATGGTCTAATAAAATGAGTAATGGTGAGATTAGGTGTGGAAATGTTAGGTATAAAGGGAAGGTCAATCGGTGAGACTGTAAAGCTACATCGATTGAGATGGCTAGGACGCATGTATTATGCATGCCTAGGATGAGGCTGGAAAGAAGTTAGTGCTGATCAAACCGAAACTTGACATCAGTTCATGAAATCTCAAACAATTAGTGTGAGACATCCTTGTAAGAGGAGGTGTAGACTGCCTGGTTAGCTAGCTGGGTTCCTCAAGATGCCACATATCCATTAGGGGGGGGGAGACTTTTGGTGGCGTTGCTCAAAATCTTTATCAGTGGCGTAAATGCATAAATGCTCATTAATCTGCCTCCCGTACGTTTTCCTTTATTATAGAATCTTAACATTTCTTATTTGCCTTTTCCTACTTTTACGTATACTTGTAGTACTAAGAGTCAAAAAGAGAATCGTTTAAGGGCTATGGAACAAGAATTAATACAAACACGACGTCAATTAACTGAATTATCCCGTTTGAAAAAAGCTAAAGAAGCCAGAGAAACAGAATGTATAAGATTACGCAATGAAATACAATCATTAAAAACACAAATGATTCGTTCAGCTAAACAGTTAAGAGAAGAAAGTGCTGCTTACAGAAAATGGCGTAAAGAAAAAGAGAATGAGGTTAGTTGGTATTTTATGCACATATGCTTATTATTATTACTTACTTGCTTACTACTATTTTGGTGTGTTTACCCTAATTGTGAGTGTGCTGGTGTGTGTGTGTGCATGTGTTTTGGTAGTATATAATTGCAGTCGTTGGTGATGTTATTTTCCCTAAGCTGTATTTGGTTGCATTGTGAAGCTTTCATTACCCTTGAACTTATAGACAGCATCTTCAAATGTAACTTCGGCGTGAAGTGAGCTTTGGAATTCTTCACTGATGAAATATTTCTCTCTCTCTCTCCTGATTAATTTCACTACGGTTAGTTGTTGTCTTAGATTCCGTTGTGATTGTATTCACTTGTTGTATTGACATCGATCCTCTAGTTGATCCTGTCAAATGTAAGATGATGCTACAGGACTGGACTACATTGGCTCCTAGCTTAAAGGTAGGCGGGAGTTAAGTGGTAGAGCGTGTTGACCACCAATGGTTTGATCGCTGATGAAATCTCAGTACGGATACAGAAGGCTTGTTTGGCATATGCCAACTTGCTTCCCTCTGACGCAGACGTGATATTCAGCTGTCGACCAAGGGGCATGTGTACTGCACAGCAGTCCGCTCCGTCCTCCTATATGCGTGGCTGTGAGACATGGTCATTGAAAGTGGAAGAAATGAAAAGACTGCCTGTTTTTGATCATAGGTGTCTACATTCTATCTCCCGTGTGAAGTGGTATATTGCGATGAGCAATATTGAGGTTAGGCGTCGGCTGAGTGTTAGGTGAGTTGGAATGGAAATCAATCGACGGGGTTGTAAAGTTACTTCGATTGAGATGGTTGTGACGTGTATTACACATGCCTAGCCATCGCCTTCCTCGACAACGGGCAATATTAGCCGCTAACATTTGACCAGGTTGTAAAAGAGCTAGTGGTGGCCAAACCAAAAGATGGCTGCATCAGTCAATGAAATCCGTGACATTTAGTTTGAGCCAGTCAGCTAGCCAAGCACGTAGGGATGTGTAGACTGGCTGCCTGTCTGGTCGGGGTCGTCAGAATGGTAAGAACCAATGAAGACTGGAGACAATTGGTGATATGGCTGAAAATCGTTCTCGGTGATGGCTGGCACAGATGCATTCACCCTTTGTGATTTGTCATATTCAGTAAAACAATCGTTTCCCTTACTCAAACTTGTGTTTATTATCTCAGTTTTGAATCTCTCTTTACTCTTTTCAACATGTCTCTATCAAAACTGCAAATTATTTTGAGTACCATGCTTTTAGAAATACTCTCACTTTAGTTGATCTCCTTAATTGTCCACCTGGTGGATTAATGTGAACGAGCGTATGCTGTGTGTATATCTTAACTATCTCTTAAATTGCTAACTAAGATACAAGGGTGCAGAGGATTTATTCTTCGCAGTTCATATGGCCAGATCAATGTGCAATTAATAGACAACATGGGCAAAGTGAAACTATCATAACCAAAACCACGGTGTGACCTTGAACAACCAATCAGAACCCAGATGCAAAAAAGTCACATAATCGTTTGAAAAATACACTAGAAATTATTACAAACGTTATATTTCACTGTATAGTTCTAGCTTATGTGTCGCAAGAATGTCTTCCGGTCAATACACAGATGATCTATAGAGAAATCGTACCATGTGCGATATACCCATTCATCCGGGTGACTCTATAGGTCATTGGTAATTTGAGATTCATTGATATTTCTGACACTATTCTTCAATGTACTACTAACTCTAACCATAATCCTAACTTCCGATCCTAGATTTAACCCTAATCGTAACCTTAACCTAACACCCTAAACCTTAATCTTAAAAACCGTAACCCTACTTAACAGCCTTGATTGGCAGAAAAAGTACCTAGAGAATATGTGGAATACTGTATGTATCCTTTCCAAGTCCAAAAAGGCCGGCATGACTTGATTTGGAATGACATTTCATAGCATTTCCTGTGTCTAAACGGTTCTTGAAGTGAAGATCAACTTTTGAAAGACCTTGACCTTAGCTATGATACTTTAACTTCGCCATAATATGTTGGTACAGATTTAATTTAGGTCGGTCGGTCGGTCGGTTTTCGACATAGAACATTGCACATATGTGCGGCAGTTCAAGTCGCCACACTCCATGTAGCACACAAAGGAAGAGAAGAAAGTAGAAGAAATGCATAATGTAGACAGTAAACAGAGATGTGAGACAAAGGAATAGTAATAACGAAGAACAAAACAGTTTCATTGGAAATCATAAGTCACAAGGAGTGGATGCATCTGCGCCAGCCATCATGGAGAACGATTTTGAGCCAAGTCACCAACTGTTTCCAACCATTGGTGTTTACCGTCCCGAGGACCCCAACCAGGAAGTCTACACCTTCCTACGTGGCTTAGACTAACTGTTGTGGATTTCATTGACTCTCAATCGATGTAATTTCACAGTCTCGTCGACTGATTTCCCCGCCTTACCTAGCAGTCGACGCCTAACCTCAATATTGCTCACCTTATCATAGCACTTCACGCGGGAGATAGAACGCAGACACCTATGATCGAACACAGATAATCTTTTCATATCTTCTGCTTTCAATGGCCAGGTCTCACAGCCATAAAGGAGGACGGAGCGGACTGTTGAGCAGTACACACGCCCTTTGGTCGATAGTCGGATGTCACGTCAGCGCCAGAGATGGCGTAAACTGGCATATGCGAACCTAGCCCTCTGTATTCGTGCTGAGATTTCGTCGGAGATCAACCCGTTGGCACTGGCTGATGGTACTTCCCAAGTAAGTGAAGCGGTCAACGTGCTCTACCACTTCACTTCCTATTTCTAATCGAGATTTAATTTATCAATCAGTACAGAGCAGGATGGCACAACTAAAAAACATCAAATATCAGATCAAAACGAGATGATTAATAATGTCAATACAAGTGAATACAGTTATAAGAAATTTTATGAGAATAATCTATCGTAGTAGTGAAAATAATCAGAGGGAAGAGTTGCGTATTTTATCAAAGGAAAATTTGCAAAGCTGACTGTCATGCTGAAGTTAACGCCTGAAGATATGCTGTCTGTTGGTGAAGAAGGACAATGAAAGCTGTTAGACCAATTCCCCCTGAACTATAAAAATCTCCACTATCATATCGTTTATCAGTTGGAGTGTTTTCAAATGAAATGTTTAAATGACTAAATTTGTCGTTTATTACTACCATTTTTGCAAGTATCTAAGGTCATCACAAAGGTGAACATAATTCTCTTCAACTGTGTTCAATACATTTGTCTTCTGTATTGTGGCTGGCTGGATTCAACATAGAACTCGGCACCGAAGTGCAGCAGTTCGAGTTGACACGTTCCAAATAGCAAACAAAGGTAGACAACAAATGAGTGAAGAGAATCAATAGAGTTTTGACAAGTAGAAGAGTGAAGCAGAATGAGTAATGGTAGAAAGGAATATGAAAGATTACAGAGACTGAATACATCTGCGTAAGCCATTGACAACGATTTTGAGCCATGTCACCTATTGTCTCCAGCCATTGATTCTTAGAGTCCCCAGGGCGGGCCCCAACCCGGAAGTTTGCATCTCCCTCCCTACCTGACTCAGTTTAACTGTCAAGGATTTCATGGATTGATTGATGCCATGTTTTTGTTTGGCCACCACTTACTCTTTTCCAACCTGCACCTATATCAGCTAGTAATGCCCGTCGGCGGAGGGGAGGCGATGGTTAGGCATGTGCAGCACGTGACCTAGCCTCTTCGATTGACTGATTTTCTCTCTTTGCCCAACACTCTACGCCTGAGGTCAACATTACTTACCTTATTATACCACCTAACGTGAGAAAGAGATCGTAGACATCTATGGTCAAAAACAGACAACCTTTTCATGTCTTCAACTCGTATTGGCCATGTTTCAGAGCCATAGAGAAGGACGAAGCGTCTTCTTCTGTGTTGCAGGCGAGACATTCAAAGATAGCCAAGAAGAAGTCAATAGATAAGAGTTCACTAAAGGAGGAAGCATTGGTAACTGAAATATACGTGTTAGTATTCTCAAAATTAACTAGAGGTTGCTTTTACATTTGTGACGAAATTCTGAGTGGTACATATAGACAGACGACAGATCACCTAGTGGTGGTATTTGTATGATTGACGATTGATTTTATACCAGGAGTTGTAAATCGCTCACGTCAACAGTTAATGCTTGGTATATAGCCATAGTGATAAGATAAAGTGTTTTGAACACTAGATATCCGTTTCGCTCTTTTCTGACCAAAGCCTCAGGATGGTCGGGGGTGGGTGCTTTGCGCTGCGGGTTGGCCACCCATCCGCACACCTCTTGAAATGCTCCCATATGACCTGGCGTCTTACATAGCCTCTCCTGAGGAAGTCCTACTCACTGCCTTCACGTGGCGGAGGTGTTTTTCACCAAAGTGAGAGGGCGAAGGCGGATGCCCGGCGCTCTTCACCGGGTTGACTGTCCATTGGATGACAGTCTAGGGGAGATGGCTAAACCCTGATTTCAAACCTCCAGCGACTGGCGTATGAAGCTCACTGGAGCTCACCGGCAGACGTATGGAAAAAGGGCTTGTTGGATGTCCTGGATAGCCGAAGTAAAGTAAAGTAAGTTTCTGACCGACCTCATGAGTAGTAGTGATATTTGGTTTGACTCAATTCGAAGAGCTGAGTCATCAGGTGAAAATCCACCATAGTCGCCTTTTGGCAAACACTAATCAAGAAGTGAATTCCAGTTACTGGTGTCATTCAACGGTGTGTGGTATCAAACAGATTGCATATGGGGTGATGTGAATACTTTTTTATTTTCAAAGGCAACTGTAGGGAATGTGCTCCTCCCTAAACTCTGCGTCTATGTGTGCTTGTGTGTTTGTGTAATTTGCTACTGGCGAATCGAATCAGTTTCTTTTTAGCCCTACTTGATCTTGTTTTTATGGATTGCGTATAAAAAGTGTTTTGGTGGAAAAATTATCAGTAATATTTTATATTTACGACGATGATTCAATTCATTTGCATTATTTGTGTTTAGTGCGTTGACTTTCACCTTTTTTTCAACCACTTGAGCAAATACTGCATCGTGTGGTGATGAGCAGACAATCGCCTTTCCGTACAATCTGTTTGCTTACTTCAAAAAAAATACACTCGGAAATAGATATACATGTATAGTTGGAAGTATCCAGGATTGACGCTCTGGTCTTTCTGAGACTGTTGAAGCACCCGTGTTTTTGGTAGTGTAGAGGAATACAAGCTTTGGATCCTGATAAGTTCTGATACCCTTATCAAGTCTTCTTCCAACTATTACTTGGTATATCATCTTAACGTGGTAATCTGATCTATGAAGCTTTCTTTAGATTACCTTTTGATGTACGTCTCAAGATAACCATTTTTAGATAAAATATTCTTCAGGGTCTTTATTTTGTACTCAATTGTACTGTCAAAACAAATTTTCCATACTCGATTGAACAGTATTCTGACTAATTTATTTTTATACTGGGGAGTTGAGGTGGGGAACAAAGCTCTTAAAGTGTATATATACTTTCCCATCCATAAAGACTTTCAGAATTTGGATCTTTCTATTTGTCCTATCAATCCTTTTCACCATGTAATATCATTTCCGTCATGTTTTATTGTGAAGTTAAGATTAGGATAGCATGAGGTGAATTCCACCCAATAAATTTTCCTTTTCTGATTTTTTCAGTCATAGATAATTCAATTATCCACATATCTTAGATGTTAGGATTCCGTCTGTTGTGTGTATATGTTGTCAGACAATTGCCAGCTTCTAGGCGTGAAAAGAAGGTGTTTGCAAAAAGTAACCCCAATAGGTTTTCCATTGCACTATCATTAACTTAACGGCCATCCAATTGTAGTTAGTATGTTAGCCATCTTTAGTATGTAGAATAATAATTTGCTTTATTCCAGAAACAGTACTAGTGGTACAGTGTGGAATTTTCAGCACATATCTACAATATTTGCATCTAATTTTATCAAACATTTAAAAGGAGTATTTCAAAAAAATAATAAATATAAAGACACCAACAGCAAAAAAACAGGAAAAACATAAAATAATTTTTTTTAAAAATGCGAAAAAATACCAAGAAGTAGAAAGGAAAAATAAACAGCATATAATAATAACTCAGTATTGGGTAGTGGAAGCCATGATATGATTATGCATGGTGACAGTAAAGCTATAGTCTTACAAGAAGTTATGAAATGATATTTAAGAATGTTTATCGCCAGGATGATCAGTTAATTTGGTTGAAACAACTCTAAACAATCATAAAATAACATTTCAGGGTTGTTGTTTTGTTTTTTATTGTCAGGTCTAATGCAGTGTTTGTAGTGGTAGTGTGAGTAATCCTGCATAATACAAAATTTTAAGGTGGTGACAATGGCGTTCACAACCAATGATTGTCAGTTAATATTGCCGAAAAAAAAATAAATAAAAATATGATAAAACAACCACAAAAACTAATAATTACATGATGGTTAATGACAGGACAATTTTGTAATACTCATAGTGCTAATATAGTCGGAACCAGTAGATACACAAAAGAAGGAATACAGTAAAGTACAAAAAAGTAAGCCAATGTTAATAATTTAGGTAGCTAAGTATGTTTAAGAAGGAGTTCACTATAGAATACAAAATAAGAGAGAAATAAAAGAGCCTAAAATTATGTTATTAACAACAAAGCAAGTCATAGGTTTCGCGCTTAACATTGTCTGTGTCGCTTAGAACACGGGCCAAGTATGGTATCGTTGAGTTCCTGTACTTGGTTGTACGAGCATAGATTATTTTATACTGATTTCTGGTTCTACTTGATGAGATACAAGGCGAGAGTTGGGAATAGAGGGGGTGTTGGGGTTCTGAGAGTATGGTTTTAGACCATTTTTCGCATGTATTCAGATGTCTTTCAACTAATGTAGTGATGAACTGACTGAGTTTTACACCACTAGTCCTAATAACTACCTTCAACATTCTTCTCAGGATGGTATAGTCCTATTTCAGTAGTAGAAGTAACAGTTTTCTTAGTTTTGTTGTTAGGATTCTCTACTCACATGATGGAGCATTTGCCCAAGTGGTTGAAAAAAGAGAGGCTGAAATTATCATATCAAAAAGTTCCGTAGCAAATCACGTGATCAAATCGACAACGGACATGGTGTTATTGACACTATCGAGTTATTCACTGTTGTCAGCAAACAAATGAAATAGGAAATTGCTTTTATTCCCGGAGGTTTGTGTAATTAAGGTTTATACACACGGTCTCTGTGGATTATTTCTTCTAGTGATGTCATGTACACTGGATTTACTCACATGTGGGGTGGTAACTTGTGTTTTTGACTATACTGTATATATTAAAATGCTAACTCTTAATATTTAAAAAAAAATAATTTTTGCAATTGATAACCGACAAATGTCAGTATAGATTTATCCATCTATGAGTAGTTGATTCTTTATTTTATAAGGAAAGCGCCTTTGGACTCGCTATTCTTCATATAAATTAATCAACAAAGGAGATCTAGTGCAAATATATCATTATTATTATTATTATTGTCATTCATTGTTGTTGTATAGGTGAGACGACTTCAAGAGCATGATCGTCGTCTGCAGTGTGAAATGTCACGTTTGGTCTCAGCCCATGAACGTCAACAAGCTGTACTGAGGCGTCGTATTGAAGCCGCAGCAGCTGCTGAACGTCGCCTCAAGGAGTTGTTGTTGCGTCAGAAAGATGTGAAACAAGAACGTGATAAACGTCCATCTGAAATTAATAATCCTAAAAGGTGAGTGAGTATCTTTGTGTTGTAGCGACAAGTCGTAACCAGTTGGGTGGGTATAGGTTTGAGATGTGAGGACAAACACTCACTGACTTGCGCTATATTGTGAATTGGCAGAAATTGAAATTCATTAGTTGACCCTTGAATCGGATCCCAGTGGTTGTGAATGGTCTACGAGCTCGTCTTGTAACCAGAAGGTCCTGGGTTCGAACTCCTGGTGGTGGCGGTACGTACTGATGTGAAGCGTTCCAAATTAGGATGTAGGAAACAACTGTTCAGTACTCCATGTTGGTTTCCCATTGGTTCTCTAACCTATGTCAACTCATGATGGAATCCTGTAACCAATCAAATCCCTGCAAACCGACACTTGAATATCTTTGTTGCATGTTGTTTATGCTAAGATTGTTGTATTGTTATTGTATAGCGTCATACATTTGTGCTTGCTCTCTTGATTGTCATTTATGGTATCCAGCAGATCACATATTGTGATTGGAATAATTTCTGTTTCTAGAGGAACTTATGCAGTTCTACGGGCTGAATCAAACTGGACACACCGCTGATGAGTTTGGTCCCAAACAAGTGGGATGACCGTCTGGGGTTCAGATGACTTCGATCTAGCTAGGAAACACTACCTTTGGTGTGTGTGTGTGCGTGTTGGTATGCCGCTACTCATGGCAATCAGTCAGTAGTATATATAGCGCCAGGATTGTTGTGATTATGTGGTTTTTCTTTCATTAGCTAGAAAGAACACGTATCAAATGAACAAGAATAGTAAAGTTGTTGTGATTAAGTGGGAGTTTCATTACTGAAATGGTTTGTCACTGGATTATCTTCGGAGAAGTTGTTGCCCACTGCCAAAAAGTTTCAAACTATATCAAAATAACTATCGGATGATCGTGACAGTTGTTTGCTACAACCCATCGAATGGGCTCTACACACGATCTAGGCACTCAGTTTTCAATGTTTTTATCTCTTGCAATCCGCGAGTGCTGCACAGGGCTTCAAGCTTTGAATTTTGAGTATCGATGAGGTTGTTCTTACATAAGTTGGTCTGCAAGTTTCATCCCCGAAATTCCCTCCCTTCCGGGCTTTCTACCAGTTGGCAGGCTTTAGTGAGGTCTTAAAGTGTACCGGTCGGGACTTCACCCCGGGGTGGTGACCTGCGTCGCTGACCAAGAGTCTACCATGGAGTCACTGACGCAGTACAGTAGTCAGGCGAGGTGGCCTATTAAGTCATTTATAGTTTCTGCCTCTTGTTTGATAACCAGGTTTTATCATCATCATCAGCAGCAGCACTACTAAACACGAGATGTGTGTAACCTTATTGTCCAGTGAATATAATTCCGTTGGAAAGCATATTAAACGACTTAACATGGGAAGTAGTAGAACTCTAACATTTGCGGTCGAAGGGAGTTGGCCTTTTCATTGTACCTCTCACTTCAAATAGCCGTGTCTCACAGCCATAAAGGAGGACAGAGTGGACTGATGCAGAGTACGCACACACACACACACACATGCAGGTGTGTACAGCCACTCATTGATTGCCTGCCGACCTTTTTGCTTTTTCAGCCACATAAGTTGTATTCTTGACTGTGTCAATGTGATATGATTTGTTCAAATGCAAGTTATCATTATTATTATTTTCTCTATTGTTGTCATATTTAGTAAATTCGATTTCGCGGCACGTGTTCGAAGTTGGGTCAAGATGGATTTGGATATGCATGTCAGTGTGGCATCCGTAAGATATCACCTGACTAATCTAATAGATTCACGTAAAATGCTTTGTGATCAACTGCGTACCATCGAAAGCAAGATAGAAGCTTGTCAACAAGACAATGAACCATACGATATGTATGTCAATGAAATGAACAGTCTCACAGAGACAATTCAATCACAAACACAACAGATAAGTGATCTTCAACAGAAACTTATAGATGCTGGTGAACGATCATCAACTGATGCAGCAGGAGGTGGTGGTGGTGCTGTTTGTGTCAGTGCATCAGATCCTAATGGTCAAGTATTATCGTGTCGTATAGCACAATTACATAATATTCAAGAAGCACGCATAGCCTTGAAATATTTATTTAAACAAGTAAGTCTTTGATTGTTGTTAGTTTTCAGTGCACACAGAGTGAAGAGGAAGTGAAGGAAGAGCCATTAAGTAGAGGAGTTGCATTAGTAGAAGGAAGGCAAGATAATAGAGATGAAGATGAAGACAAAGATGAGTGAGGATTAGAGAGGTTTCGCGTGCACTTCGGATTGTGAGGGCGATTGTTACTTCCCGGCTGCCCACACCGTGGAAGTTGGTTCCGTGACCATCCGTCCTTTTCTATGGCTCTGAAACATGGCCAATACGAGTTGAAGACATGAAAAGGTTGTCTGTTTTTGACCACAGATGTTTACGATCTCTTTCTCGCGTTAGGTGGTATAATAAGGTAAGTAATGTTGACCTCAGGCGTAGAGTGTTGGGCAAAGAGAGAAAATCAGTCAATCGAAGAGGCTATAAAGTTACATAGATTGAGATGGCTAGGTCACGTGCTGCACATGCCTAACCATCGCCTCCCCCTCCCGTCGGGCATTACTAGCTGATATAGGTGCAGGTTGGAAAAGATTAAGTGGTGGCCAAACAAAAACATGGCATCAATCAATCCATGAAATCCTTGAGAGTTAAACTGAGTCAGGTAGGGAGATGCAGACTTCCGAGTTATGCCTTCGGGACTCTAAGAATCAATGGCTGGAGACAATAGGTGTTTATTGTCTTTAGTCGTTGTACTCGGCGCTATATGTTTCTGCCGTTGGCTAGTTGACTTCCGGACTTCCATTGTTGCTTCCATCCTTTCTGGCGGATCACCTGATCTTCATTTTTGAGCGAGGGTAGCAGATATTGATAGGAGTCTGTCACCTGTATTAATTTTTTGACTTTTTCAAATTTTGTTTTTTGATTATAGCTTAATTCCACACCGTTTTTTTGTTGTTGGTACAGGTATGGAATCTTCAGCATGTGATATCGGTAGCCCTAATTTTGCAGGCCGACCATAGGTATCAGGTGTGCGTCAGCAGGGGATCGAGCCCCGAACCATGTGCATGGTTGGCGAGAGTCCTAACCACTGTGCCACCGACGCACGAGCTTTGAGTAGATTGGATGGTAATAGCATTAGAAAAGTTCAGCTTTTCTCAAACCAGAAACATGACCCCTCACGATCATATCACATAGACAGTTGCAGGAAGGTTCAGATTAAAGTACTAAGCAGAATTACAGCTAAGGTGAAATGAATTGGCATTGTGACTTCTTGAAATACGAAAATCCCTAAAGATTTTATTTGCCTTAGAATATATAGTAAAAATATTGTTTTTTAAAACACCAATATATTATTGGAGGACCACATGCCTTTCTCAGTCTAAGGCTTGACAAACATGGGAGCATATTTATTTCGGTCGGTCGGTCGGTTTTCGACATAGAACTTTGCACATATGTGCGGCAGTTCAACTCGCCACATTCCATGTAGCACACAAAGCAAGAGAACAAAGTAGGAGAAATGCATAATATAGATAGTAAACAGAGGTGTGAGACAAAGGAGTAGTAATAACGAAGAACAAAAAGCAGTTTCATTGGAAATCATAAGTCACAAGGAGTGGATGCATCTGCACCAGCCATTGAGAACGATGATTTTGAGCCATTTCACCAATTGTTTCCAGCCATTGGTTTTTACCGTCCCGAGCACCCTAACGAGTCAGGAAGTCTACACCTTCCTACATGGCTGGCTTAGACTAACTGTTGTAGATTTCATTGACTGGTTCCATGTTTTCGTTTGACCGCTGCTAGCTCTTTTTCAGCCTGGCCCTATATCAGTTAACATTGCCCGTCGAGGAAGGCGATGACTAGGCATACGTAACACATGTCCTAACCATCTCAGTCGATGTAATTTCACAGTTTCTTCGACTGATTTCCCCTCCTTACCTAGCACTCGACCGATGCCTAACCTCAATATTGCTCACCTTATTATACCACTTCACATGGGAGATAGAACGCAGACACCTATGATCGAACACAGATAATCTTTTCATGTCTTCTGCTCTCAATGGCCAGGTCTCACAGCCATAAAGGAGGACGGAGCGGACTGTTGAGCAGTACACACGGCCTTTGGTCGATAGTCGGATATCACGTCTACGCCAGAGACGGCGTAAACTGGCATATGCGAACCTAGCCCTCCATATACGTGCTGAGATTTCGTCGGTGCTCAACCCGTTGGCACTGGCTGATGGTACTTCCCAAGTAAGTGAAGCGGTCAACGTGTTCTACCACTTCACTTCCTATTTCTAATCTAGGGGTCGGTGTAGTCCAATCCTGCAACATTATCTTACATTTTACAGGGGCGAATCGCATGCCAAACATACGAAGATTGTTGCTCAAGGTGTTCAATAGACTCTGCATTTTGTCAGCGTCCTCGCCTAGAAGGACTATATCGTCTGGATATTCTAAGTGAACGAGATTATTCCCTGGTAGCAAGTCAATCCCTGAGTCGCTGAAGTGTGTTAGGGTTAAGTCCATTAATACGTCTATGATGAAGTTGAATAGGAATGGGGATAATGGGCATCCTTGACGGACGCCACTAGTCGTCACCACTTCAGATGACAACTCGCCATAAGCCCTCACCTGGCTGCATGAGTACGAGTAGAGTGCAATGTATTTTCTCGGCATTCCCTTCACAGCCAAGCATCGCCAGAGAACCTCTCGGTCGACAGAATCGAATGCCGGCATATTTATTTGATATCATGAAGTATCATTCATTATTCACCACAACACAATGTGATATCAAAGGAGTGCATATCACAGTGGTGCAAATTCTGATCAACCACAATAGATACCATTCGACTGAAATAGGACTGCCACACTATTTAAAAATAATTCATTGAGAGAATTGAGAAGTGACGGAGTAATAGCAAAATCCGATGGGAGGACTGAGAACTTGACAATTAAATTAGACCAGAAAATCTCGGATACTCGTTTGAATAAACACGAGATACTTAACTCTATGCAGTTTTTTGTTTTACCAAGTGTGTTATAAGCCAATTATCCACTTAAAAGGCCGATGCATCACAGGCGATTTTATAGCATCAGATATGGGTCCAACCACTCAAAAAAAAAATCCTTCAACCAAATGAAAATATAATACTATGCTGTGGATTCCGATTCCGATTCAGAATATAAGGATAGAAGGCTCTTGTTGCCTATGTTAATCCTCGCGATATATATCTCTGCAGAGATCCTGTTTCTCTTTGAAAGCGTTCACTGATGATGGAGCTGTTACTAACTGAATCAGGTAAGGAGAGTTCCAGTCGTTGACCACTCTGTGAGAGAATCTAAATTCCAAGCGTATTTTATTCGACCTTGGTTTGATGAGCACCTTACAAATGAAATCATTGTTACAGTGATGAAAGTTATGGCCTGTATGATCCTTTTAAACTAATCAATAAACTCAATTCGCCTGAACCATTGTGTTAACTCAATGGTGTAGAGCTAAGGCGCATAAACTGTGCAACACTCGGTTCTCATTTTTAACCTGACTGATTGACTAAGTTGCACTTTAGAAATTTGCCTCGAAGTGCAACATTTCAAGTTACCCACACTCCACATAGCACACAAAGGTTGACAAAAAGAAAAGAAAGTTTAAAAGAATTATGAGGAACAGAAATATACAAGAGGAAGGTTGCTCACATGAAAAAACATAAGGATTTACTGGTTGTGAGAGAGGATACAAAAAGTGACTGCATCAGAGGTTGGGGGGGGGGAACGATTTCAAGTCACTTCACCAACCAACCGCCTACAGCATCTCGAGGGAATGCTAACTAATTAGGTGGTTTATATCTCCCTTATCAGTGTCTGTAAGTGTAAGATATCGTTACCAATTAAGTCTTCCTCAACTTTGAGAAGAAGACCTTCGACAGCGTTAACCGTGAAGTGATATGGAAACTACTTCAGCACTACGGAGTACCTCAAACCTTTATCAATCAACCTCATATAACAGCCAAGTGACAATGTCGTTTTTCAAGTGATCCACAACGGAAAACTCAGCGAAGCCTTTGAAGTGTAGACAGGAGTGAGACAAAGCTGCTTACTATCACCGGTAATATTCCATTCCTGATTATAATGGACTGGATCTTACAACAAACCATGGGGAGTAGTGAGGAGAAAACGGGAATACATTGAATCAATATAGTCATGAAAGATCTAGAGTTTTCGAGTGATTTATGTCTAGTGTTATGCAAACTCGTAGACCTACAGGCGAAGACCAACAAGTTGGTGACATAAACAGCGAAGACGGGACTTCAAGTGGATGTAGAGAAGAAGTAGGCGATGGAAATAACGAACCAATAACAACAGCAACTCTCAATCACTACTAGATCAATGCTTTCACTTTGTTTTGCAACATTGTTCCACCTGCGGCGGGTGGCGGCATGGATGAAGTTGTCGAAGTCAAAAACGGAAAGAAAGAAAAGAGGCATTGATTACTCTGAAATCAGTGTGGAAATCTACAGTGGTTAACATAACGAGCAAAATTCGAATTTTCAACCCTAATGTCAAGTCAGCTATTCTATGTGGTTCATAAACAACATGCGCGTCACCAAAAGCTGCCTTCGCTAGTTGTATACTGGAAATCAGATGATCACAAAGAATTAGCGGCAAAAAACTGTGATAACGAATGAACTAAGCACCTATCACATCACCCAAAAAATATGCTGAAAAGTGTGAAGGTGGATCGAATACACACGGTGTGACATCAGTCCCCGAGCTCATAGCCCGAGGGGAACCGGAATGTGAAACAGTGAGTTGAGCGTCCTAGAGTGATATGGATGGAGGAGAAGATGAGTGGTTATGGGCAATCGTGTAGCCATCTAATGAGGAGGACTGTAGAGAACAAGGCAAACTGGAGATGCTCTGTTGAAGCCCTATGTTCCACTCGGAACTGAATCGACGATAATAATAATAGTGCTTGTTTTAATTTTGATAACGGCAGTGCATTCACATGATTGATTTGATGTCGCCTTATGATTTGTCCACCTGTAGACTTTTTCAGTTTAAAGTACTGGTACAGTATACTGCTTAGACTTTTTTATTCCTTCACGTTCCCAGTGGAACATAGGGCTTCAAGCCAAAGACTTGAAGTTTCTGTAGCGGTGGTGTTTATTTTTACAGGATGGGGTTGATAGCCTCATGCCCAAATCTTCCTCTTTACCAGCTTTATTACTGGCTAAGTGAAGTAGAGGAATGCGTGGGCCGAGGATCGAACCCCGGACAATGTGTATGGTCGGCGAGCGTCCTAACCGCTGTGCCACCGACGCACTACTGCTTAGACTAGACTATATATACTTGCAAGTTAGTTTTCATGGCATAACTGTTCTTCTCTTATTGCTGCTTATTAATGCTTTTTGTCTTTATCTTTGTCATCGAAATAATAATTCACTGTGTACTTACTTTCACAGGCGTCATCATCTGAAGTATCGAAGATTAATTTAGAGGCACAATTGTCCGAGATGGACACACAAATGACTACATTGAAGCGAGAAATGGAAAATTTACGTGAAAGTTTTTCAACAGAATTGTTAAAATCTGAAACAACTGTAAGTAGTAGTAGTAGTATTACTGTTATCTTTGATTATTTTATTCTTATGTCTGGATTTCTGAAGGGTTTGTTGCATTCTCTTGCATAAAGAGAATTGACTAACTGTAGAAAAGAAATATGAGAGCTTTGTTTGACAGCGAGACTCCAAACAAGTAAAATGACCGTCCGGTGTTTTTGGATCACCTTGAATGGAGATTTGATTCATTGGCTCTCATGCATCTGACTATACGCGTCAATGGGTCCTCTGTTCGAATCCTACTCCATTTACTTCCATTTAACCACCTGGGATATTGCCATAAAGGTGGTCATGGTATGGTATGCAGAATAAGTTTATTCTAGGTCTTTGTATTCTGACAACACAGATTAGAGTTCAACTGCCGAAATGTGGCTTAATTATTTCTTTCTAGTCTTTAACAGAATGTCATTGAGGATAACTTGATTGTGGTGAATCAGTCTCTAATGTAAATGCTGTTGATTCGTATCTTGTCATCGCCCTAGTTCCTTGTTTTTGTATGCAATCATGATTTCAAGGAATTAGTTCCTTTTATGGACTTCGACATAATAATAATAAGATTTAGTATATCTGGAGCGTGTAATATATATATTAGCGCAATACGTTTTGGATATTGTGATCACGCATTTGTCATGCTTCAGATCCATTGGTTATAATGTGCGAAATTGTCCTGTGTTATTGCTAATCAATCAAATCCCTGCGAACCAACGCTTGAAAATTAATCTGACACTCAATAGCGACAGGAAGTTACCTGGAGTTCTAGTGATAAGTAGTAACCAGAGGGGTTTATCAAGTCGAGTAAATGAACGATTACTTGCCTATGATATAGACTGGCGATTGCGCTCTATGTATATCATGAATTGGCAGAAGTTGGAATTCATGAGTGATTGGATCGGGTCCTAGTGGCTGAATGATCTGCGAGCTCGCCTTATAACCCGAAGGTCCTGGGTCCGAACCCCAGTGACTACGCACTGCCGCGGAGTCCCTGACTAGGATGAAACAGCTGTCCAGTACCCAGTGGTTTTCCAATGGTTCTCTTACTAATGCCAACTCGTGGTCAAACCTGAGAAGTACAATAAATGCTCCAATGAACCAACACATTTATGTGACTACTATTATATAATTAGACGTGGACTAGTGAGGATTTTCCAGGATTATGTGCAATATGGCAAATAGTGAATATATTTGAGCCATTCTGTGGTCGATTTTCATTTATGCCAATAGGTGCCTTCGGAGAACTCTATGTGGACGAATGTCCCTCAAGTACCTATACGATTCCATACCGATTATGAGTCGGTGTCATATTTTCGTAGTTGAAGGCCGTTGACTAGACGTGCGTAGTACTCTTAAGAAAAGTGATAGACGGCACGGTACAGATGTCAAAGTCCATATCTTGATTTTATCGAACTGTGTTCTGTTTTTCATACTTGACGCTACTGATAGTGATAGGGTTGGATTCTAATATAAAAACCAAAAACTACTCCGTGATAAACTCTGCAGACCAAAAGATCCTATTGTGAACCGATTGAATAGAAAAAAATCTAATCTACAAAGTGTCTTGTAATGATTGTAAGCCTAATCCAGGAGGTCAGAATCTATTAGGTTATTAGTATATTGCAGTTCAGCGAAGTGTAAACTGATCAACCCCAAAAAACTGACTAACTTAGAGCAATTGGTCACTGAACCTTTGTCCCTCGAACATAGACACCAAAATCAATGTGCCAGGGATATTATATTGACTATAAAATCATCGTATAGGAAATAATAGCACTCTATATTATAAGTGGGACTCGAAAGTTATATGGGTAGTACCAAGATACGATAATGGGCGATAGATTGTGTTCGAAATTTGACGAGTAGGAGACTCTCTCAGTTGGTGGTGGTGCTCTGCCAGACAGTCAGATACACTGATACAAATACACAAACGAAGAGATAGAAACAGAGAATCAGCAAATTGTCTTAATGTCAGTCAAAATCGACTCGTTCGAAAATCAGTATTTTTTTTGAGATTGAGGTGAATACGATTTGTTCAATTAATGGAGGAATTGGTTAAGTGAAAGACAGGCATCTGTGTGTGTATGTGTGATTGGGGTGATGTGTAAGTAGATAGAAAATTAGAATTAGCGCGTCAGATTGTTCATGAGTTTGTGCTTGTGTCCATGTACTACTTTACTTTACTTCGGCTATCTCCTACGGGAGGATGAGCCGGCTTCATGAACATCTCGAATCATCGCTGCCCAGGCGCGGCGATCTGATGCAGAGTCGTTTGTAAGAGAGTTCATGAAGTTTCATGGGAATTTGGTACGAGTGATGTCCCCAGAATCGCTCGGCCTTTTGTTTGAGAGTGCAGCTCTAGCCTTTACACAACCAAGTGTGACCTACAAGGCAGTAGGAGTGGAGTAGGGAGTCCACTATCCATTGGGAGCCGGTGACCGGAGTTCGGTTCATACGCCTTTTTGAATGGGGCCAGACATCCAGGACATCCAACAAGCCCTTTGTCCATACGTCTGCCGGTGAGCTCCAGTGAGCTTCATACGCCAGTCGCTGGAGGTTTGGAATCAGGGTTTAGCCATCTCCCCTAGACTGTCATCCAATGGACAGTCAACCCGGTGAAGAGCGCCGGGCATCCGCTTTCGCCCTCTCACTTTGGTGAAAAACACCTCCACCACATGAAGGCATTGAGTAGGACTTCCTCAGGAGAGGCAATGTAAGACGCCCGGTCATATGGGAGCATTTCAAGAGGTGTGCGGAGCGGTGGCCAACCCGCAGCGCAAGGCACCCACCCTCGACCATCCTGAGGCTTTGGAGGCCATGTGTAGATCTGCGATTCGGTGTATTTATTTGAGGGAATTTTCGCTGGAGAAATTTGGTGCGTACTTGCCTGTCAATGTGTGTGGAATTGAGATTGGTCTAATTTGTTGTTGGATAGTGTGTTCTGTGCAAAAGAATATAGTATTAGGTTGGATTTGTATCAGTGATTTGTTTGCCTTGGTTTGTATGTGATGTTTGTAAAAATCTCTGGCTCCGGAGGGGATCGAACCCTCGACATTCGCGTTATTAGCACGACGCTCTAACCGGCTGAGCTACGGAGCCGGACGTCAACCTTATCGCATCCATTCCCGCAACACCAATTAAAAACCACCACACCTCCATCACATCTCAGTTACCACAACACAGCTCATATCTATGCCGTCCATTCATCACATTCCATCAGCATACTATATCTGCCCATCCAGTCAGCGGAATTCATCACAAACAGACACTCATACGTCATTTGTACAACCACTCACTACTGACCAACACACCCAGTCTTCAGCCCCTAGACACTGACAGCACTGTTGGTTCTAATCAGTTCAAGCATGACACATCGTGCACACTTCTGCTCACAGTCCGACTCAGACTGATAGTCGTGGATTGATTGCTACGTAGTCTGATGGAGATGTTGATGATCTAGGGATTGGAAGAATTGATGAAGTGGTGGACGGATGGGTTTCAGAGGAAGCAAATAGATGGAGACCTGAGAGGGAAATGATTCTGGTGACATATGAATGTTGCATTAAACTTGGAGGATAGAGGATTATGGCGGTAAGATGAAGAAGACGGCAGGCAAGTGTTTGATTCCACTCATATATTTCTAATGAGTCTCCCCGTGAATATAGTAACTTCCACTCAAATTATTCTCCATTTTGATATTATTATAAGTTTTCACCTTCCTCTTATTTGTCTTCTACGCCTTCATCCCAAGCTTCGTCCTTCTCTGTATGTTTGTCAACTTCTTCACCTTCCTTATCTTAATATTGCCATTATCCTTGTTATGATTATTAATAATAGTTTGTGATTATTTCATTTATTATCATTATTTTTGCTATCAGTATTATTATTATAATTATTATATTGATTTCTTCTGTATTCACTGTCATCCTGTGGACTGATTTAGTGCTGTGACCTGAAAGAACAGCTGCAGTCGAAGGATAAATCCATTGAACAATTGAAAAATCACAATAGCAAATTACAGAAAGCGCTACAGGTTGCGCTTACTTCCAGTCTAAATGCATGCACAGTAAGTTGAATAATAGTTTATTATCATTTCGTATTATTATTATTATTTTCAACATCTTCATTTGAGCACGAGTTTAACAACAGTTAGAGAGAGCCACTGGAAAACAGGTTGGCAGAAGTCGACATTCATGGGCTGTTGAGTCGTCTCGTGTCCATTGGCTGAGCGGTTTATTAGCTCGCCTTGTAACCGGAATGTCCCGAGTTCGAACTCCTGGAGGTGGAGGTGCGTACTGCTGAGGAAGGGTCGGAAACTGGGACAATAGAAACAGTTGTCCAGTACTCCCTATTGGTTTTCCAATGGTTCTCTAACTGATGTCAACCGATCAAATCCCTGCAAATCACCAACACTTGATAATCTTTATTTTCGCAAATAAGTTACTATGATGATTAAAGATTACGTGTATACTTTCATTGGGCCATAGTAACCAGTATGATGTGTCTAGTCCTTTGTTTAGTGCGGACTGAATTCTATCAGTCAGGTTCGCAATGTGGCCATCATTCTAGGTAGCTGTCTAGGCCGAATAGCTCACTGGTAACGTCTCTGACTGCAGCACTGGGTTACGCCGGTTCGAATCTCTGAAGAGGGACATGAGTTCCTTCAAGGTTGCAGACACGCCTTGCTGGCTGGTGAGTGCCAACTAGCACGAAACCTAGGTCAGATAAGGCTTCCTGTGGCCGCCGATTGCCTCCAACCATCTGATATCAGAGATTACGTGTATGTTGCTCTCTTCTCTTAAATAATTTTTGTAATTACTTCTTTTGTGCATATATCTTCACGTGCTACTATATCATCTTTGTAACTGAACAATCGTATTTGCGTAAATGGATGACATTAGACGGTGACAAGTACGTGTGTTGGGTTGAATTGTTTGTTGAATTTCACCTTGAGTGGAAATACTGAGGTATGAGTAATTATTGGTTTAGTTAATTATATGAATCACAACACAAACTACAATAGACATGCATAAATATAAGACAGAAAGTTTAAGCACTTGAGATGTGAATTTTTCAAGTCAAGTCGACAAATACAATAAAGTGGGAAAACAAACCTAATGATTGGTGAAGTGTTGTCAATATAATGAAATAAATGAAACATATTAGAATCTAATAATGTTAAGACAAAGTGAAATGGAGCAAAGTGGAATTAAACAAGTTTTGTCAATCACATGATAAAATTAAGATTATATAGTAAGGAAAGCGATTCTCCCAATTGTTTTTGTGCAAAAGTTTTTATCCCCTAAAAGTGATGTATTTCCAGGAATTGCTCTGTGGAATGCTTGTTCTGTGCGCTTGTAACAACAGAAGACAAGGGCCAGGCAACAGATCGTTTATTAAGGAAAATCAACACATATTTATAGATTTTAATGTACATTATTGTAGATTATTGTTAGTAGAAAATACAGTCTTTTGATTGGTTGTTTCTCACAGAAAGTTAACCTTGCATCTCTTTGTGGCTGTGTCAGATCATCCATATGTTAACTGTATCCGCCTACGCAAAGCCTTTGTTCTCATCATTTTCTCACCACCAATATTGGGGACATAAACATTGACGTCAATTACTGTCTACCAACTTTGGCTAGCAGCCAGCTCTCACCACACGCTTATGTATTCTCTTCAGCCTTTGTAGACAATCTTAAAGTGAATTTAATGAGAAATCGCATTCTCACTACATACTGCACGGCGGATGAATTAATGGCTTTTACACGTTGTCCGCAGCATATGCTTCTCAAAAAAGCTTACTGTTTACGCATCTGCGAAAGAGCAGGTTGACATATATGAATGCACATTTGCTTGACTACAGCCTAGAATGTTTTCCTCAATGAATACGCCAATCCCCCTGAATATGAAACATTTTCCGCTTCCACCATTCTGTGTATTACTTTCATTAAAAAAATTCCCCATTAGCTTCCATAAACCATGTTACATGTATGTATATGCACATTCTTCATAAACGTTTCTTCCATTGGTCTAAGTTCTTCATCAATACTGTCTTCACTCCAAGTTCCTGGACACGTGTTGAGAGAGAACAAACTAGATCTCCCTTATACTAATGTGAATGAAATGGTAAAAATACATCATTTGACACGATTTTTTGTCCGTTTTTCTGTTAAGTGATCTTTTCAACGAGATGTCAGCTATTTATTTTGTGATTAGCAAAGTACCAAGAAGATATTTTTGGTATCTAGGTGACGAGACTACTTATACACACATCAGACACCTGAAAACAAGCCTTCTCGCATATCGCTCTTCAGTACACTCCACCATGGGGTTTTCTCCTGTTTAATTGTTAAAATATGCGATTGTCTCGAGTACACTACTCTTGCACTTAATATTCGAGGGACTGCAATTTTAAAAAAGATACATCGATAGTTATACATCTATCATATATGATGAAAACTAATACATTTGGGAAAACGTCATGAAAGAATTCAGTGACGGTCATCTTGATGTCTAGTTTACTTTAGAAAAAAAGATACCAAAAATTTCTTCTTGGTACTTGACTACTCACAAAATAAATAGCTGACATCTCGTTGAAAAGATCAGTTAACAGAAAAACGGACAAAAAATCGTGTCAAATGATGTATTTTTACCATTTCATTCACATTAGTATAAGGGAGATCTAGTTTGTTCTCTCTCAACACGTGTCCAGGAACTTGGAGTGAAGACAGTATTGATGAAGAACTTAGACGAATGGAAGAAACGTTTATGAAGAATGTGCATATATATATACATGTAACATGGTTTATAGAAGCTAATGGGGAATTTTTTTTAATGAAAGTAATACCCAGAATTAGAAGCAAAAAATATTTCATAAAGACGTGGAATTCAGGCGGTAAAACTCGGAATGTGAAGTATTCTCGAAAAGCGGTTGTCGTCGAACGAATGCATTCGGTGGAGAGAAAAAACCCAACAACACTGAGACTAGAACTGCATAGCTCAGAGTTCAAGGAATGAAATATGTACGTGGATATTTCTGTTAATTGTCCTATTATAGAATGATAATATTCCAATTGGTTGTTTCTTTTTCCAGGATACTGGCCCTCCAGTGACACCTTTAATCAATAAAGCTAGCAGTTATTCAAATACAGAGGATTATGTAAGTGAAATTTTTACATGTTTTTCTTTCTTTTAAACTAAAGGTTTTTGACAGATTGGCAAGGCATTCGATTTATTTTCAAAAGATCTGCCGATAGACAGTTAGATAACCAAGAATTACTGAAAAGCTGTTTCATTTCAATTTGTTACTGTCCATCAGTTGTACACACTGATAATTTTTATCCAATGACTGAATTTTGGTAACTTTCTTGTCACGTAATTGCCTAAAGGTCCTGAATTTAAAACATGGTGATATTCATGAATGTGAACTGCGGGGGGGAGATCTGAAATTAAAGTGAAACAGCTATTGAATGAATGCTCTTTGGTTTTTATTGGCTATATCGATTGAGATGACTGACTATAGGGCACGTGTTGCGCATGTTGAGCCGCCGGCTTCCTCGATGAGCAGCGTTAACTGACATAGGATTTATTAGGTTGGCAAAGTGTGTTAGGGTTGGGCGAACCAAAGTCTGGAATTAATCCATGAAAACTGCCTGATTAGGGTCCTCGAGGTGCTGTGAACCAATTCCTGGAGACAATTGGTGTGGCATGGATCAAAATCATTGTCAGTGGAGCAGGTGCAATCACTTTGTTTTATCTTTCCGTGTTACTGTTCTCTCTCCGCTATATTTTGTGCACATCAAAGTTCTCTACCTTTGTTTGGCACATAGAACCAATGTACTTCTGTGCGAGAGATTGTTTGTTGGAACTTAGTTCCAGTCATTTTTATTTGCTTACTGTTTCGATGAAGTTGCGACTAGCTATTTAGTATATTTTATTAATATATATTCAATAGTATACAGTGCAAATAAATCCTGAACGTTGACTACTGTACCTTATTTACACTGATGGTGATGATGATAATGTCCAAGTATCGGTTTGTAGAGATAGTATATTTGATTTCATCATGAGTCGACATCATTTAGAGAACAATTAGGAAACCTGTACGGAGTACTGGACAGCTGTTTCATCCTAGTTTGGGATTCTTCAGCAGTACACACCCTAGACCAGGAGTTCGAACCCAGGACCTTGTGGTTAAAAGGCTAACGAGCTTGTAGACCATTCAGCCACTGGGACCCGATCCAATGGCCAGCCCATGAATTCTAACTTCTGCCGATTCGCTATATGGCGCGACCACTTCTCAATGTCTTCTTTGATGAGTTACTTCCTCACAGTCTTATAATAATGATCCTCTACTATTTTATCCAACGGGAAAAATTTTTCATGCATAAAAAGTGCGATTAAAATTGTAGTGTTTTTAACGTTGTGTTATCTACTTTCATGCATCAGTTGATATTGTTAAAGCAATCCCCCCAGGCTAGCATAAATGTTGTGTTAATGCTGGCTGAGGAAGTATGTATGCCGGACGCGATCTCTAAACGTTTAGTGAAAGCTAAGGTGATATACACCAAGTGGGCCTGCTTCTCGTAGGTCGGGTTGCAATGATTCGGTGCTTAATCATGCGTGTACACTTGTGAAACTTGGCTGAAGATGTGCGGTAACTCTGCGTATTCAATCATTACCGTCTCCATAGAATTGCTTGTGTTCAATAGTAGTAACATCGTGTGAGTTATTCTGAGGTTTGGCAGCATGTGTTTGGGCACAGACGCGGTAACCATTTATTGAGTTTCGTCACCTGGAAATATCGTTTTCAGTAGTTTGAAGATGTGCTACAAATGTCATCCCAGAGTCATCCTTACCCCCCAGTCTTTGTTCGCTATCCCTGTGACTAGATGGGAAAAGCTTTAAGTTGGTTAGCCTATGATGTGATGTAGCGTCGTGTGTTGAAAGGTATTTGTGTTAGTTTAGCGCCAGTTGGTGTGGTACCATTACAGCTCTCTGGACGATGGAGTCCGAGGAGGAATAGTTTAAGTTGGTGGCTCGAGACGTTATCAGAGATATGGTCAAGAATCACAATCGTCAATAGCGGACATGCTGTGAAATTTCCATTTTTTCCCTTTATAAAAGTAACAACAAGTGTGCTTGCTTACTTTCTGGCTGACGATCGTACAGCTAGAAAAATAAAACCGTCGAAAAGTGAATTTTCTGCGCTAAATCCATTGTTTTATGTCTCACAGTGTGAATTATTAACAATATATGCATTTTTCAGAGAGAGAGATGAGTAACTTGTAATTTCTGCTTTCTCATTGTGTGTGTATATACAGATAAAAGATATCGAATCGCATTGTCAAGTGACTAGTAAATACGTAGAACAATTACAAAAGGAAAATGCTCAACTACGTGAATTAATTACTATTCAACGTGAAAACTTAGCAGGAGTGAATTTGCAATTGGTAAGCTCTGCTTGTCTGTAAACATTTTTTATGTCCAATGTTTATTTATGTATGTCGATTGGATTGTTCTCTAGAAGGTGACCAAGATCATTTGTGTGTCTGTGTGTGCGTATGTGTCTGCTCTACGGTGTTGGTGCGGTCTGAATTCAATTGGTCTGTCGTTGGCATCTCTGACGCAATCACTGGCTGACTGGCTGGTGAGACGTGTGTTGGAGTCTTCGGGGGTGGGGGAGGGAAGAATTAGTCACTACAACCCCCCTCTAGGTTACAGATATATCTAGGTTGAAAGCAGTGCCAACAAGCGCGAAACCTAGGCCCTTGGTTGCATGCCGGTCGCCTTACACCACACACCAATATGTTCAGCTTATTTTATAATTGAAGTTGTTGTATACTTACTGAAAAATATTGAAGGTGTTATTCTTATGGGTTAGTTATTCTCATCCTCGCATTCACTCTGTTTGGTAATGTATCAGCATAGATGGTTGTCGAGTGAAGAGAAGACAAATTTTCGTTAACCATCTAATGTCTTGAAAAGAACATTCCCTACTGCTACACTACGATTGGTATTCTCAAGCCGCTAATTGTTATTCAACAACTCCAAAGATGAACTTTCGAATTTGACCACTTCTATGTGTATTAACCAATTTACTTGCTCATATGGAGCGAGATACATAGGTCTTTCGATGCGTGTTTTATCCAACAGAGAGTCGAAGGACATCACCCCCTCCTTCTACCTTGGTTATAATTCCAAGTTCTACGACTTTGTTAGTAAGGTTTTGTTTTTCGATCTTTTTTTGGCATCTAAGTAACATCTTTTTCTTAAGCAACGCTTCATTTACTCTTTCTACCTATTACGTAATTCATGTTTTGGATACATGTTTCTATTAACACCCTATTTCATATTACGCAACCCTTGTCAAATGCTTGGCAATCTTCACCCCCCCTAGTTACAATTTTGATTATTGATCACATTTTAGAGACATTTTGATGACGTAAACAGTAACCCTAACTATTTTTAATTCTACTTTTGTTTGACAATCCTAATGTGCACACACACACACACAAAGTATTTGTAGATGAATGCGACTGTACAGTTAAGTGAGTCGATTTACCGAAAAGAGACGCTTGACTGAACTTTGTTGTTCTTAACCACTTGTCTTCATTATGTTATAATCCAGTCTAAGGTAATTAAAGGAGATAAGGTAAATTGTTTCTGCGCACAAAGTCCTAACGTGTCAGATAATGTGATTCTAAAACTTCAGCTTAGCAATGTGTATATGATTGAACAGATTTGAGCGGGTTTTACCTGACACATTCACTTATTAATGCACCTCGGTATTTCTACTTGTTGACAGAATTGTGGTACTGTCATTCAGTGAACCAAATACTGGTCTGGATAGCGTTCTGTCAACTGAGGTGTAGACAAAGGATTTTTTTTTCAATGTCAAGCCTATGTAATTTCGAATGGTTGTTCAGTGAAGTTTTCTTAAGTTTTGGTCTCGAGCTGACACCAGTCATAGGACTATTGGAAAACCAGGAAGTACTGGACAAACCGCTTCGTCCTAGTGTGGGACTCTTCATCAGTACTCACCAAGTAGGTTGACAGTTGATCAGGGGGGTCCACCGAGTGATGGCATTGGTTGACAGTTGCGCTATGTATATGTGACTTATTGGGTTCTGGTTCGGACGCTTCAAAAATGTTTGAGAGTTAGCTTGGTTGATGGTGGCTAGCAGTGGAATGGAAGACTCGCATTTCGTCCTATTCGGGACTCGTCAACTGGGTATACCTGCAGTTCACCCAGTGAGTGATGGTGTTCCCACTGAGGCTCGAACCCAGTACCCACCATCCATCAAATTACTTCAAGTTAATCCTCAGACATCGTTGAGCGTTCCAACTAGGAGCCGACATGACACCACAGGCCGAACATTTCTGTCAAATCAATCAACGGGAAAATCAAAATTAAACTGAAAAATAATGACTGACACTCGTTGCACAATAGGTGGCCCAAGTGGTCTTGTGAATAATGCCGTAGCGTTTAAAACGATGGGTAATGGGTTCAAGCCTCGGTGTAAACACCAGCACTGACTCACTGGGAATGGAAGTACATCCACTCGCTAACGAGTCCCAAACAGGGTGAAATGCACATCCTGGATTCCACTGCTAGGCACCATTCATCAATTTGTTTTTATATTTTAATTCAAAGTTTTCGAGACTTGATGGTGTGTATATGAAAAAAGCTGTAAGAATTTGATTAGTTATGCTTGTATGCTCTACTGGTTTCATGGTAAATTCTCTTTCAAATATTTCAGTGTTCCTGCAGGTCCTACCATGCCAGGGAGGTTGTTAAGATAGCGATTAGACTAAAAGCAGTTACCGGTATAGTGTAAGAATTTTTTACACTATTCTGGGGGGTCTGTGGGCATAGTTGTACTGCTGGGGAACAGGGATGTAATAGCTGTGAGGTGTTTCTCCAGATGCCAGCTATGCTATCTCTCCACTCTGGAGGGAGATGGTTAGAAGAGGTCGGCCCTCAAATATTGTACATCCCGACTTGCCCTACGGTGGTCCGTAACCGGCGGTAAGTTTACTAATACGGAACCAATCCAAGAAACCAGTTCATACAGGCCGTGTGTGACAGGTCTCAAGCAGTTGTTTTCTGGGCTCTGCGGTCAATCAACACTAACCCTCTTTCCGTTTCAGGTGCCCCAAGAGTCAATCAACTTCCACGGTGTGGGCAGCCGGGAAGTAACAACCGTCCACACACTTCCAATAGTACACGAAGCCTTCCTTACCAACCATTAAATGAGCGCGTTGGCTGAGTATATAGTTGAAGCCTGATTCGAACATATCCACAGACTGACGGTTAGATGCTTAAGCTAATGAACCACACTTGTCTACACAGATGTCAGTGGAGATTTGGGCATAGGAAGTTAGCAGCTCACTACGAGAATCTGTACAGTAAACTCAGTTCAAATTATACTACTATTATTATTTATTCGTTGCGTTCTGAATGAGTGAAACATAGAGCATCAGCATACTAGATTCCCTGTCATCAATTTTACCTAGTTGCTCCACGACTGCTGACTAGCTTCCATTTTTGCTCCTCGTCCATCTCCTCATCTCATGATCTTTGCCATGTCACTGCCAGACTGCTAACTCCATCATATCGCTTTTTTTTCCTTCACGTTCCCAGTGGAACATAGGGCTTCAAGTTAGTGGCTTGAAGTCTCTGTAGCAGTGTTTATTTTACAGGATGGGGTTGCTAGCCTCATGCCCAACCTTTCCTCTTCACCAGCATTATTTCTGGCTTAGCGAGGTAAAGGAGTGCGTCGGCCGGGGATCGAACCCCGGACCATGTGCATGGTCGGCGAGCGTCCTAACCGCTATACCACCGACGCACATCATATCGCTTAGTGTGTTATTCATATTCTCTTTTCTTCGGATATTAATTTATTATATTACCCAAGATGATGACAATTGTTGTGTTTTCTTGTTGTTGTTGTTGTTTTTGAACCAAATTCCTCACTTTCATATTTTTTTTGTTTGTTTTCCAGAGTGAATTATTAAATTCTCGACAGCCTGGTACACCAGTACTTCGACAAAGTCATAATCATAATAATATTAATGATACCTTCATTTTATCATCAAATAATACTAGTGGTGATGAAAATTCGAATGGACGACGCATAAAGAACAATGAACGTAATACATCACCTGATTTTACTACTAATAAACGTTCACCTATCAGTTGTAATGCGACTGATTTCGATGAACCTGATAGTAAAGTTAGAAAATCTGAAAGTGAATGGAATCCTAATTTCAAAGCAGGAGAAGAAGAAGAAGAAAACACTAATGTAAGTAGTATATGCGTGTATGTGTTAACACACATAGGTAGGTAGGTGTCCCTTAGCTTAGACTTGTATTTTACTTAATCGTTATTTTGTACAGTTTGTTTAACCGCTTAAGCAGGATTTTAACTAAATTCACTTTCAACTAGACGTGAAAAGACTGGCTAGTTGTCTTTAAAATCATAGTGTCTGGGTTCGATCTCTCGTGTGAAGTGGTATAATAGGGTGGGCAATATTGAGGTTAGGCTACGGTCAAGTGCTACGTATGAAGGAGGAAATCAATCGACGAGGTTGTGAAGCGACGTCGAATGAGAGATGGTTGTGACATGTGTTGGGCATGCCTAGCCATCGCCTTCTTCCACAGGGAATTGTTAACTGACATAGGATCGATGAGGTTGGAAAAGAGCTAGCACGAGGTGGTCAAACCAAAAGATGGCTTCATCAGTCAATGAAATCCGTGACAGTTAGTTTAAGCCAGCCAGCTAGCCAAGCACGCAGGTATGTGTAGACTGGCTGTCTGTCTGGTTGGGGTCGTCGGGTTGGTAAGAATCAATGAAGGCTGGGGGACAATCGGTGATATGGCTGAAAATCGTTCTTGGTGATGGCTGGCACAGATGCATTCACCCTTTGTGATTTGTCATATCCAGTAAAACTATCGTTTCCCTTACTCACACTTGTGTTTGTTATCTCTGTTTTGAATCTCTCTTTACTCTTTTCTCTGGCGTTATGTGCTACATGGAGGGGAGAGTGGCAAGTTGAACTGCTGCACATCTGTGCGAAGTTATGCGTTGGAACCAGTCAGTTTATCTTGTGTATACAGTGTGTCTTTTTGAAATAGGAATATGATTTCACATTGTGAGTGTATCTTATGCGACGCGTTCAGTACATTGGTATATTTTGAAAATGTTGTTGTCATACAGTAGTAGTAGTATTCGTAGTGGTAGTTCAGAAGCGGACTTCCTGTTTTTTTTTCACTCACATGATAGACAATAGTAGCTATTGATTTTGAGGGGGGAAATTATCCAATAATTGGTGCCTTCTAAAATATCCAAATATGTGTTTGTAAATGAAGCGGTTGTTTTAAAGAATGATTTGATGAATGCTTAACTCACTGAATCTTAAATGTTTCATTGATAGACGGATCAAATATTGTGTAATTTAAAGAAAAGCGACATTCAACGAGAAGTTACTCTTCTCAGCGATATCATTCTCAAAATGTAGAATTCCGCATATATATATATATATATATATATATATATATATATATATATACTTATGTCAGTCAAGTTTACAATAGCAGCAGGACCAGACAGAATCCAAGTGGAGGCATTGGAAATGGACACAGAGACGTCAGCGAACTTGATGACACCACTACTGGAGAAGGTGTGGAAAGAGGGCGAGGTACCTGCTGATTGAAGGTAAAGCTAATTATTCAAACTGCCAAATAAAGGAGATTTAGGTCACTGTAAGAACTGGCGTGGTATTATGCTCCCGTCCATCCCAAGCAAAGCACTAAGCCGCATCATCCTGGAGAGAATCAAACACGCCGCCATGGATGAAAAACTTAGACCGGAAGAGGCTGAATTGAGGAGGAACAAGTCATGCATCGATCAAATCTCAACACTACGGATCACCATTGAACAGAGCTTGGAATGGTAGTCAGCTCTCTACCTCACTCAACTTCATTGACTTTGCAAAGGCCTTCGAAAGCGTCGACCGAAAGGTGATTTGGCAACTACTTCGCTATTGCTGGGTGCCCCCAACAACAGTTGTACGACAATGCTGCATGCCAAGTAATCCACAAGGGGAAACTCACGGAATCCTTCGAAGTGAAGACGGGAGTAAGACAAGGCTGGCTGCTTACTATCTCCAATGATTTTCCTGATTGCTGTAGACTGGATAATGCGAAAAGCAGTGGGCAACGAAGGGACAGACATAAATTGGACCCACACAAAATACTTGGAGGATCTGGACTTCACCTATGATGATATATGTCCGATTTCCTACAAACGAGAAGATATGCGAGTGAAAAGCAACAACTTGTCAGAAGAAGCATCAAAGATAGGAAGGACTTCAGGTAAACATAGAAAAAACAGAGGTGATGAAGATTCCTGGCCAACAGCCACAGCAACAACAGCAGACAACAATCAACCAGCATAAATGGTAGAAATCTGAAAGAAGCAACCTCCTTCACCTACTTACTTGGGAAGCATCGTTTCAACTACAGGCGGACAGAACTGATGAGGAAATCAAGGCGAGGATCATCGGGAAAGCAAGGAAAGTTTTCATTTCTCTCTAATCTGTGTGGAGGTCAACAGCACTCAGCATGAAAAATTGGATCCGGATTTTCAACTCCAATGTGAAGTCAGTGCTACTTACTATACGGATCAAAGACTTGTACTGCGCGTCACGAAGGGCACTTTCATCAACAGCTGTTTTCTCTCAATACTCAAGATTAGATGGCCGGCCAGAAAAGATGAGCAATAGGGATCTCTGGGAGCGAACCAACCCGGCAAGAATCGATTGTGCAACAAATATGCAAGAATAAATGGAGGTGGATTGGATTGGCCATACTCTGAGAATGCAGACCGTCAAGTGAGTGACATCACACGCCGGGCCATCGCTCGAGTGGAACCCGAATGGGAAGCGGCGAGTTGGTCGTCAGTGTGAGGGTGACATGGAGGAGGTCATGTGTAGGGGATGATGATTCGAATCGATGTTACCCAGTGTGCCGCAGTCAGAGACGTTACTAGCCAAGATTGACCTCCTGTAGGACTGTGTCGGATACTTTTGATTGGACACTAGTTAGTAACCAGTGTAATGTGTCTAGCCGTTTGTTTAGTTACTGCGTCTGTAGTTGCCACCTGCCTCTGTATTCTGTGTCTTTTCAGTCTCTCTACGGGCTAGTAAATGTAGGTAAGGTTTCGGATTACATCGTCTGGAAATGAAACACAGACCTCCCGTGTGAGAATAGACAGTTGTTCTACCATTGACCCAGCGCTTATATGTATAAAATATAGGCTTAGTTATCTTAAGGTAAACTGGTTGAGTATACTCTTATCTTTTGAACACGTAAAATGTTTTTCATGTGAACAAATCTTTGTCTATTTTGTTTCTTTATTTTTCTGTTTATATACATATCTTCTAGCCAACTGTCAATGATGACTCACATCAACGTCGATGTAAATGTCGTGGAAATTGCCAGTCACGATGTAGTTGTAAACGTTCTGGTCGTCTGTGTACTCCAGCGTATTGTCAGTGTGTTCCTGGCATATGTCAAAATCGTTCCACACCACCGACAACGACATGCTGCTGACCTTGATGAAGACAATGAAATATTACGATTATCATCAAGAAATTCAACAGTTATGGCTCCACCCTCCGACCTTCCTAGAATTCTACGTCCTAAACGAAAAACTCGTGCATTACAATTGAATTTAACTCAATCACAACAACAACAGCAACAAGAAGAAAAGAAATCACAACCATCGTGTGCTCTGAATGAAACTTATGATTTAGATACAAAAAAATCCTCAGATACAGAAAATGAAAACGGCCAGTTACCAACATCACCATCTACTCCAGATGAGATAACTGATACCAGTGTTGTACGTCACTTATGGCCAAAATATCGTGTATCGTTCTTCCCGAGTCCATCATTAACTCCGGATTTGTAGAATGCCTTTTTATTCATTATTACTATTGTAGTTCATTATGTTGCTAGTCTATTATAGTGTTTTTATGTCTTATTACTGCTACCACACTACTGATCCCTGTATAATAAGTAAATGACCTTGTATAATCTTTGCCACCTACCCACTCTCCCTCCCTCTTTCTCTATCTCTCAGTAAATCTGTGATACTCTCTCTTTTCCCACCAGTGCCGCACATATTCTACTGAAAGAAACTACTATTACACTGGTGGTTATCGTGGGCACCGTTTTTCTGTGTGTGTTTGTGTGTGTATGTATTTATGTATGTGTACGCACCTCATAAAAGAGACGTGTCTAGTCAACTACGAGTAGGCTGTGGTGTGTTGTATACCGACTCATCATTTGTTGTTTGAGTAGTCTGCATGAAACAAGACTTTGCTCTTTAAAATAGCCTCAACCAATAAATAATGTATTGACGTTTAAATTTTTGCAAAACTCTTTATTAATAGATACATCCATCACATGTGTGTTGTATAATCATTGTTTTATAGGGAAATTCAAATTTTAATTGGTGAAAAAAAATAAAAATATATAAATCTGATTAAAAAGTGCGTGTTTTTTACTGTTCGGCTTGTTATAGGCTATTGACGACTAATGACTGAACACCTTGAGGAGCAGCAATCTTGGTATGTTTGGCATGCGATTCGCCCCTGTAAAATGTAAGATGCTGCTACAGGACTGACTGGACTACGTCTACTCCTAGCTTCGTAGTGATAGGGAGTGAAGTGATAGAACATGTTGACCACTTCACCTATTTGGGAAGTTGTATCAGCACCAACGGATTGATTGGTGACGAAACCTCAGCACGGATCCAGAAAGCTCGAGCTGCTTTCGCTGACTTACGCCATTTCTGGCGTAGGCGTGACATCCGGCTATCAACCAAGGGACGTGTATACTGCTCAGCAATTCGCTCCGTCCTTCTCTATGGCTCTGAAACATGGCCAATACGAGTTGAAGACATGAAAAGGTTGACTGTTTTTGATCATAGATGTTTACGATCTCTTTCTCGCGTTAGGTGGTACAATAAGGTAAGTAATGTTGACGTTAGGCGTAGAGTGTTGGGCAAAGAGGGAAAATCAATCGAAGAGGCTATAAAGTTACATAGATTGAGATGGCTAGGTCACGTGTTGCGCATGCCTAACCATCGCCTCCCCCGGACGGGCATTACTAGCTGATATAGGTGCAGGTTGGAAAAGAGTAAGTGGTGGCCAAACAAAAACATGGCCTCATCAATCCTTGACAGTTAAACTGAGTCAGGTAGGGAGGTGCAGACTTCCTGACTGGTTGGGGCCCTCGGGACTCTAAGAATCAATCAATGGTGGCTGGAGACAATAGGTGACATGGCTCAAAATGGTTGTCAATGGCTTACGCAGATGTATTCAGTCTCTGTAATCTTTCATATTCCTTTCTACCATTACTCATTCTGTTTCACTCATATACTTGTCAAAACTCTATTGATTCTCTTCACTCATTTTCTTGTGTACCTTTGTGTGCTATTTGGAACGTGGCAACTCGAACTGGTGCACTTCGGTGCCAAGTTCTATGTTGAATCCAGCCAGCCAATGACATACAAGTCGGTGTAGTATATATGCGATGGTCATAGCGAGTTGTCATATTTTCTCTAGCGTGAAAATCCTGTGCTTCGTAGATAAAACTGATAAAAATTGCACTGTTAAGAAAATATCTGTTAAGGTCTTGTTATCAGAGTGGAGTATCTCACACTCCTGACATTAGTGAAATAGCAATAAATACTGAGTGGTCAGTAAACCTCACAAATATCTGCAAAACCGACAAAGGCGATCGTCTTCTACAGTTCTGCTCAGATAATCATCTGTTCCTAGTCAGCACTAACTTCATACACAAAGAGAGACACTGCGTAACCTGGCGACCTCCATCACCAAATCAACGCTGGACTCAGATAGACCACATAGCCATAGGGTATCGTTGGCGAGGGTCAGTAGAAGACTGCCGCTCCTTTTGGAACACGAGCGTAGACTCTGATCACGTTCTGGTTCGCGCATGTTTATGCTTACGACTAAACGGACATAAGAAATTGACGGCAGCGAAACAGTTACGTCCCCAACTAGATCGAGACACTGAATCCCTTATTTTAGGAAGAAATAGCGAAACGTATATCTGAGGTTGACTGCAGGACTTCCACAACATACAGTTAGCTGTAGACACAGCTGTAAAAGCTGTTAATAACCTGAAACCAAAAGTTAGTAAGAGCCATTGGATCTCTACCGCCTCATCCGAACTGATTGACGCAAGAAGACTGATTCCGGTGAGCTCCGATTATGATGAGGAGCGAAAGCTACTCAAACGAAAACTAACAAGAAGCCTTCGAAACGACCGTGAACAGTGGTGGGCGACAAAAGCGAAAGAGATGGAAAAGGCATCGGCAATTGGTAACACCAGACAATTGTTTAGACTTATCAGGGAAACAGGTGGTAAAAGACAAATGATAAGTGAAACAGTCTCTGAGAAAAATGGCACCATAATTAGCTCCCAGGATTGACGACTGGAAATAACACTTTGAGGAGCAATTCAATTGGCCTACAGCCACACTCAACCTGCCGAACATCCAACACCTCCCTGAATGGGATATAGACACAGGTCCTCCTTCCTTAACTGAGGTTATTAAAGCTGTCACTAGTCTGAAACAAGGCAAAGCAGCAGGACCTGATGGAATGACTCCAGAGGTATTTAAGTACGGTGGAGACAGTTTACTGTCTGCATTAACTGAGGTTCTAGGCAGCGTCTGGGAATCAGAGGAAGTCCCATCGGGTTGGTGTAAGTCACTGATCATCCCGATATACAAGAAGGGAGACAAGTCTTCTTGTGATAATCACAGAGGGATTAGCTTGACTAATATAGTATCTAAAGTCCTAGGCTCAATAATACTGCGTAGACTAAGTGGTGCTCGGGAGGCACAAACACGAGAGAACCAGGCAGGCTTTAGATCAGGAACAGAGTGTATTGGATCTATCTTCACCCTTCGACAGATCTGGAACATAGTCATACTTACCGGCGTCCAACAATCGTTATATTTCTTGACCTAATGGTGCCATTCGATTCTGTCGACCGAGAGGTACTCTGGCGACGTTTGGCTGTGAAGGGAATGCCGAGAAAACATATTGCACTGATCAAGGCACTCTACTCGAACTCATGTAGGCAGATAAGAGCTTATGGCGAGTTGCCACCTGAAGTGGTGTCCGACAGGGATGCCCACTATCCCCATTTCTATTCAATTTCATCATAGATGTACTGATGGAATTAACTCTAACTGATGACTTCAGAAACTCAGGGATTGACTTGTTACCAGGGGACAACCTCGTTGACTTAGAATATGCAGATGATATAGTCCTTCTAGATGAGGACGCTGACAAAGTGCAGAGTCTTCTGAACACCTTGAGTTGAAATCTGCGTATGTTTGGCATGCGATTCGCTCCCTCCAAATGTAAGATGATGCTACAGGACTGGACTGGACTACATTGATTCCTAGCTTAGAAATAGGGAGTGAAGTGGTATCCGGGAGGCTATCGATCAAAAGGCAGGTGTACTGCTCATCAGTCCGCTCTATCCTCCTTTATGGCTGTGAAACCAAGCCATTGAGAGTGGAGGACATGAAAAGGCTAGCCGTCTTTGATCATAGGTGCCTGCATTCTATCTCCCGTGTGAAGTAGTATAATAGGGTGAGCAATATTGAGGTTAGGCATCGGTCGAGTGCTAGGTAAGAAGGGGAAATCAATAGACGAGGCTGTGAAGCTACATAGACTGAGATGGTTAGGACATGTGTTACGTATTAGCCTAGCCATTGCCTTCCCCGATGGGTAATGTTAGCTAACTGGCATAGGATGAGGTTGGAAAAGAGCCAGTGGTGGTCAAACCGAAACATGGCTTCATCAGTCAGTGAAATCTACAACAGTTAGTTTAAGCCACGTAGGAAGGTGTAGACTTCCTGGTTGGGGTCCTCGGGACAGTAAACACCAATGACTGGAGACAATTGGTGATAAGGCTTAAAATCATTCTCAATGGCGCAGATGCACTCACTCCTTGTAACTTAAAATACCCAATAAAACTCTATTGATCTTCGATATTACTATTCTTTTTGCCTCATATCCCTGTCTACTATCTCAATTTTGCATTTCTTCTCTTGCTTTGTGTGCTGAGTGAAGTGTGGCGACTTGAACTGCTGCACATCAGTGCAAAGTTCTATGTTGAAAACAGACAGACAGTATACTTTGCATTGCCGAGGGCTTAGCGATCCGGTTGGAAAATTCTGATTAAGAGCTCACAGAAGAAACTTCTCCACCCCATCCCTCTACCTTGTGTATAATTCCAAGTTCCACGACTTTGTTAATAATGTTTTGTTTTTGAATTTTGTATGACATCTGAGTAACATCTTCTTCTTAACTAACGCTTCATTTACTCTTTCTACCTATTACGTAATTTATGTTTTGGATACGTGTCTCCATTAACCTCATATTTCATATCACACAACCCTTGTCAAATGCTTGCCAATCTTCACTCTCCACCCTCACCCACCCTAGTGTCAATTTTGATTATTCATCACATTTTAGAAACATCTTGATGACGTAAACACTGACCCTAACTAATTTTTATTCTACTTTTGTTCGAAAATCTTCATGTACACACACGCACATGCAAAATGATTATGTATAAATGTGACTGTAGAGCTAAGTGGATGAATTCGCCGAAAAGAGACGCTGGGCTATGTACCAACCACCTAGGCTGGCTGTAGTGGATGTGGTGTAACAACAGAAGACAAGGGTCAGGCAACAGATCGTTTATTAAGGAAAACCAACACATATTTATAGATTTTAATGTACATTATTGTAGATTATTGTTAGTAGAAAAAAACAGTCTTTTGATAAGTTGTTTCTCACAGAAAGTTAACCTTACATCTCTTTGTGGCTGTGTCAGATCATCCATATGTTAACTGTATCCGCCTACGCAAAGCCTTTGTTCTCATTTTCTTACCACCAATATTGGGGACATAAACATTGGTGTCGATTACTGTCTATCAACTTTGGCTAGCAGCCAG